GAGCACGTCAATAGCTACAATTTTTGTATGTACGTCAATAATTAATTGGATATTTTCTTCTATACTTTTTAGCACGTAGCTATTTATTATTAGCATTGTTCTTCCGACGTCTGATTTCTTTTTAATTATAGGAAATGCGTTTTTCTAAGATACATAAACTTTTGGGATTGACTGTATAGCCAATACATCCTTAAACTACTCGCGATTAATTACTAAACCTGAATTGAAAACGAAACCGAAACCGAAAACGAAGAGGATACATTAATTCCAAGTGCCTTAAACTAAATACCTTCCTCAAAGTTGTAGATGTTAGAACGTCGAATATCATGATAACCAACGCTATATAAAATATGCAAGAGTAATTTTTCTGAAACTTTCCTTCGCTGAATAAATCTACTAGATATCCTGCGCTTGTACCAAAAATACCGAAACCGATGCTGCTCCACATCTTTTGTTTTCCATATTCTTTTCTCCTATCGTTACCTGTATGCACGAAGAAATTACGTAGAAATCTGATCTGAAGATCGATCGAGTCAATTTTGATTTTCATTTCTATTCACGTCCAGCCGCACGTGTTAGTATACCAACCGAGAAGATCGAAGCATATAGCATCGGCCATGGTGACTACAACCGCCATTCCAATCCAGCTTATTATAGTCGCCCATAAAAATGAATGAAATTGATACGTCGCGTTTTGCGTAATGTTCTGAGGCACATCGGCTTCGTGAAATACTTCATCGAAGGTTGGATTGTCGTGGCACGTAGCCGTGCACAACGTTCTCGCGTAGTGTTTGCAAGCTGGTTTGTGTTTGTTCTGTACCTCGTCGTCTAAGAATTTCGCGGAAAATATACGTATGTATGCGCACTTGTTTATCTGTAAAACAAACGGTTCGACTATGGCCCCCCTTTATTCGTTCATTTAACTCGCAATTACACGAGAAGTATCTTACATAGGCGTCGTGGTACACATCGAAAGTTAAAGTGAAATCGAAAGTTTCTGTATCCAAAATAGAGGTAGAATTTGCCGACTCACAGAATTGTGTCGCGTTCCAGTATAAACACATCTCTGTATAGATCTCCTGCGAGCCTTTGCACGACATCTAAAATTATAGTCACGATACACACTTGTACGCAACAAACCACAAACGTTTACTTGGCTATAGAAAACTAAATGATCAATCGAAAAGACGATAAGGAGGAAGAGGGAATCGTTCATACCTGGCAGGATACATTCAAATGGACTGTATCTGCTGTCATTTTATGTACAAGCTCCGGCGAGAACCCATTTTCTGAGCATATCTCCAACGATGCGTCCCCATTGCAAATAAGAGCAACATTTTCTCTGCGAATCTCGGGTATAAAATATATAGAGAACAAAGATATCGCTACTACGACTTGGAATATCAAAAACAATAGCTTGTGTATTCGAAATTTGTCTGCTAATGCTCCGAACAGGGGTTTTGCCAGTAAACCAGATATCGGCAGTATCATATATATTGTGCCCACTAGAAATCCAGAAAAACCTAATTGTTTCGCTATTGTTGGTAAAAATGGTACTATCGGTCCAGTAGCTGAAAAAACAATGGGAAACGAATTAATCTTTGATATCCTATGCTGTCATTTCGATACGGTTACACGTAGATATGTAATAAGTAACTACGATCTACTTACCCGCATTGAATAAAAAGTAATGTGCCTTTATAGGTAGCAATTCCTTATTCACGTTTCCAATCATTTTCCAAATACGCACAGTTCTATATACCGTATAGAGTTGGGAGTGAAGATAAAAAATCTACCAATTACAAGCAGTTTAGAACGATCTGGATAGAATTATAAAAAATCGTTCTAATCTTCACTTGTCGCATGGGTTATCGTCACGCAATTCATCCTCGTTATCACCGTTAATAATTAGTATACAGGTACTCGAATGTCTACTAATTCGATGTTTCGATACGCTCTTTCTCGAGCGTAAAACTTTCTAAAACAGATAAGTATTTAGATATACGTATTGAATATAGTGCATACGTAAATACACGTAAATGAAAACAATTGTCACGTCGTTAAACCGATTGTACTTATTCATACGCATTACATACGTACATACTACATCGACGATCAATTTATAACGATCACGTAACGCACATAAAGTTACAACAAAAAAAAATAAAAATTACTCGGAGTCGTTCGTCTTATAGATCAATATAGATAGCCTACAATTTTTCTGTGCACGTGCACTTTACCCCCTTTGCCCTCCAGAATGTAGCAAATCAAACTCAGGACTTGAACATTGAATTGTGGAATCCGAACTGAACCTGAACTCAACAAGCGAACTAGTGTTACGCGTTACACTTGGGCACGCTTCGCGTTTCGTTTGTCGAGCTTGCTGCATCCGCAATAATTTTCATCGTCTAAATCAGTCTAAATGTATAAATCTGAATCACGAGGAACGTAGAGATATATAATACACGTAGGAAGGAGGCGGAAACGGGCGGAAATCATTGATATCGTGTTCGTCGATGTTTGCATTTTACTTTTCTGAAATCCCGCACAATTTTTCTACGTGTATGTGTGCATACGTCACATAATAATACACACGAATAGTCTCATTACGATTATTATGTATCAATGAAAAATCATGTGAGCACGGTCAATACCACGATCTTATAGTCTATAAGATCGTGGTCAATACGTGCTAAAAGTATAACCTAATGATTATACCTGCTTAAGTAGAAAGCTCTCCATGTCCAAGTGCCGGTCCAAGAGAGGTGCAAAACGGGAGGTTTTATTGCATTATATCAGTTGCGCTCAACGCTACACTGTTACAGCTACTTCTTCCTTCAGGTGTCCGCACTGCAGTTAGGATAGAGCTCAATGAATAAAATAGCATTACATACACGAATATTTACATAAGATTACGAAAAGAATAAAAAGGAAATCATGCATTCCTCGATTTAAATCTTACATATCTATTTAGAGGAAATTTATCAATCGCACCTTTCCTGAGATCGATTTACGAAGTTTCATCATTAAGACAATTTTCGCATACGATTCGTACAATACACCTAAACCCAAATAGAAAAAGTAGCTACATATGCTTATATACGCTGAAAGGATCTAAAAGAATTTTGTAACAAACTGTGCTTTAATCTGTTCTCGATACATTTACAATATACATTTACAGTACGTATGTATAATATTATAGTATAAGTTTCAATATATCGCTTTCCCGTTTCTGTTAATTTTCGTAACATCAAAATGAATTAACGTATGATCGCGTGAATCACACGATTTGTTTCGATTTTTGTTACATATTATTTTCATCCATTAGATTACGCAGGGACGCATAGATATCGTATCACGTAGCGTAGATACATGCGTAGATACATACATACATACATACATACATACATACATACATACATACATACATGTACTCGTACAGTATATTCTCTCGTTTCTCTACGTTCTACAGTCCTACCTATTTATATTAATCTAGATCGCATTCTCTGTTTTCTCCTCTCTTTTAATCTATCCGCGGACGAGTTTACATACGACGAATGTCTTTGACATTGTAGATCTTTTCTTTACATCGAGCACATCGTCTATGAAAGGGTCGGGGATATGTATTTTATATACAAAGAAGCGAATCTTCTATTTTACACACTAACGGATCTATATTACACAAGATGCGCCAGCAACGATATTATACAATGTACACAAAAATCCTTTGAAAATCGCCAGCATACGTACGCGGGTAAGCTCCTTTCTCGTCTTTTTATTTTTAGTTTTTTCATCGAATCTGTCGTAACTACAGTTGTGCGCGAGAAATGAGAAGAGTAAGAAGGAAAAACACGTACGAAACATTTTCGAGAAAAACGCATTGTCGAGTGACCCACGATTTTGCCTTCGCACAAGAAGTAAAAAAGTAAAAAATAAAAGATAAAAAAGCGAAGAGAAGGAGGATGTTGAAAAAACAAGAGTCGGAAAGTCTCATGCGAAGTAGGCGTATTCATTATGTATGTATGTACAAAGTAGGTATAAGTACTAAGTACATAGTATACAGTGACTACACGGTATGTACCAGTAGATTACTAGATTTTCGGAGAGAGCTTAAAAAAATCTTCTGTTCCCCGATCAATTGGAGTAAAATGGTATAATATGCCGTCGTATTTTATAAAAGGAGAAAAGAAGAGAGAAATAAAAGTTTCATATCGTTCGAAACTTACTGTTAGATGTTTGCAAGTTGCACGATCCGTGAACGCGCTCATACGATCTCAAATAATGTACCGTGTTTGGAACTATTTCCTTCCTCTACACGTTACCAATGTTTCTGCTCTTCGGAAAGGAGCTGCAACAAGTGTCTTTCGTTAACAAAAATGAAACGTCGGGTACGATGAAAACACTAATAAATCGATAGATCGGTAAAAGATTAAGGTATATACATCGACTCGATCCGATGACAAGAACTTGGAGTTACAAGCAGGATCGACTAAAAAGAAAAAATCGAGTAGTCATTGTCTCGTTTGAAATACCGTCTTTGACGATTCTACACTACAGACAACCCTGGATACTCCAATTAGAAGGCTTATCCTACCATTATGAAAATCACGAGAAAATTTAACACGGTTTTCGGGTAAAAAAATGTAAAGCGGGTCGAGCCGAGGTTCGATAGATCGACCGGGAATACGAAGATCGGAACATCTGGTTTCGCATCGGTGCGTTCAAATGGAACATACACGGTGCGGTGGTACGTTTCCGGTAGAATATTCACACTAGATTACGCATGGTGAGACGACGATGGTATCTACCGCCGAAATGTGGAGCGTTACAAAGATGTTAACGGCTAAAGCCAGGACGGTCGATGATGATGGGGAGGCGGTTGAAGAGCGTAAAAGGAATGAATATACTGCTGGTAAGCGGTCGGATCCATGGTCAAGTTCGGCCCGTGTGGCGTCACATACGCAGACACCGGAGGACCGTAGGCTGCTGATCTCTGAGCGGTGTGAAGAAAAGGATGAGCCGGGTAGTTTCTAGGCGTTTGATTGCTCAGTTTGTTGCAAGCTTGTTGCGCTGCGTCCGATGCAGGTGAAACTTGCTGTTGCTGCTGCTGCTGCTGCTGTTGTTGTTGTTGCTGCTGCTGTTGCTGCTGTTGATGCTGCTGCTGCTGATGCTGCTGCTGTTGCTGTCTGAGTGCCATACTGTAATAACTGTTCGGATTTCGAAACTCCTCGCTCAGAAAAGCGAAAGCCGCCGCGGTCGCGTCCTTGTCATAAAAAGGGGAGCTGGTCGTGGTACTTGTGGAACCGGCGAAATTGAAGGCACTACCGGTCGGCGGTGGCGGCGGCGCCGATGCCGGCGGCGGAACCATGGCGACGTTCTTCAGGCTGATTGAATCCGCCGACGTTCCCGTGTATTGCGGAAAACCAGCGACTGGTATACCAGCGACAGATTGCTGTTCCGCACTGACAGCCGACGAGACACTCACTGCATTCTGTTGATCCAGCTGTTGCTGCTGTTGCTGGTGATGTTGCTGATGCTGGTGATGTTGTTGCTGCTGCTGCTGCTTGCTCTTTCTGCTCTTTTTCGTTTTTGTCGTGGGTGCTGGCGCGGACGCAGTGTCGATCAATGCGTCACCGCCACCTCTCCGAGACGATACCGACAGTATAGATTGCGTGTTCTTCGCGGCAGCCGTTTGCAAGCTTTGAAGCAAATTCAAATCGAGGTCCGCAGCGCAAGTGGCCGGGCTGCGCGCGTACCCCAAATGTTCGGCCGTCACCGGTTTCGTCACCGGTGGTCGTGGAATGGTCAGTAACTGTTGCTGTTCTTTGCCCGCGCGACTAACTAAGCCTAAACCTAGACGAGCATAGGCTGCCGAATTCGTCACTGAGTCAGCCAGATTCCCGACGAACGTTGCGTCAAACTGACCACCCGGTACAACTTCTGATTGCGGTAACGCCATTATCGGATCGAAACCGAATTGGTCTTGACCGGTTCTAGCCGTGATATCTTGAGATAATCCGCGGGACAACTCCGCGGACGATTCGTTGTAGATGCGTTTCTTCACCGGAGGCAAATTGCTGCTCGAACCATTCGTCGCTCCGCCGGCGACGGCAGCCTTTGAACCGGTATCGAAATAATGCGGGCTGGGGTACATCGATCTGGCGTTTGGCATCGGGTATCCAGATGGTTGGAAACCGCTTGAATAGAGAGATTCGTGCGCCGCCAAATTCTGTTGAAACGCCAAAATTTGCGTTTGGTCTTGAGCCGACAGGTGTTCACTACTACCGCCACCGCTGCCACCAGTCGTTTTACCAAGAAACGACCGTTGCTGGCCGTACTTCTGGCTCTGGTTTAAGGAATTTCCGAGATCGGCAAAATTTCCTGCTCGTTCCTGGGGCGATTGTTGTTGTTGTTGTTGCTGCTGCTGTTGCGGTTGCGGTTGCTGCTGCGGTTGTTCTTGTTCCCCATGTCTCGATTCGGATCTCTGAAGATCGATATTGGAATAATTATTAACGAATGCGGAAGAATAGTGATCGGGCGATTGATAGATCTGATGGTTAGCGTTTAAATTCAAGGACACCGCCTCCGATGGTACGGAGAAATTCTTTTGCTGTTCATTGGCCAAACATTTCTCTGTCCGGTGCTCCGTTTCGCTCAACGACGAAGCTACCGGTGATTGTACGTAAGACGGATTCTGTTTATATCCATGGGAATACGTGGACGATGGCGTCGAGGCGTTCTGCGGATATTCGACTTTCGATTGCAAACTGTAGCTCGTTCCATTCTTCTGTGCCGAGGTTTGCGATGGCGGTTGCGACGTACACGCGGGCTTAAGCTGCTGCTGCTGCTGTTGCTGTTGCTGTTGCTGTTGCTGCTGCTGAGGTGACGGTTGAGAATAATTTCGAGCATGCTGCTGAGGCGACGGTATCGGTTGTGAGTAACCGTGCGATTGTTGTTGAGGAGATGGCGAAGGTTGAGAATAGTTACGGGATTGTCGGGGTGACGCCGAGGACTGAGAAGAATAGTTGGTCGTCGTCGGAGTAGGCGCTTGCTGTGGAGATAATTGAGAATAATTCTGCGGTTGAGGCGTCTGAGGCGAGTGTATGGAGTAAATAACGGACTGTTGTTGAGGCGATGGCTGAGAATGAGAATAACCCGAGTTCTGGGCATTTGGCGAGAGCCGAGAATATGAGGGCGGTGGCTGTTGCGAAGATGTCTGCGAAAATGTTTGGATCTGTTGAGGCGATGGTTGAGAATAATTTCGAGGCTGCGGCGATGGCTGGGAATAGCCGGGCGTGAGAGGTTGAGGCGAGGATTGCGCGTAGCCGGGCGAATGCGAGGAATGTGTCTGGGGCTGGGGCGAGGGGTGAGAAAAGTTTGAGGAACGAGGCTGTTGCGAGATCGAATACGCGGAAGGTGATGATTTAGGCGATGGTCGGTTAGGAGAGTAATTCGCGAGAGCTTGCGGCGATGGCTGAGAGTAACCAGAGGATGGCGGTTGCGGCGATCGCTGAGAATAATTTGAGAGCGCGCGAGGCGACGGTTGAGAATAATTTGTAGTCGATGTTTGCGGCGACTTTGGAGAATAATTCGGTGTCGGTGTTCGAGGCGAAACTCGAGAATATTGTTGTTGCGGAGATACTTGAGAATAATTCGGCGGTGGTAACTGTTGAGGAGAGGATCGAGGGTAAGGCGAAGACGGCTGCGGCGAAGCTCGAGAGTAACTGGAAGGTTGCGGAGACGGCTGATTGTGAGGATAATTGGCAGCGTTCTGTTGCTGCGGGGATAATTGAATCGCGGAATATTTGGGAGTGGACGGTTGCTGAGGAGACGGTTGCGAATAATTCGACGGTGGTGGTTGAGGGGATGGCTGAGGATAAACTTGTTGCTGTTGTTGCACAGGCTGTGGAGATTGCTGAGTATAAGCCGGGGACTGATTTTGATTGGGAGATCGCAACTGTCGATCGTAAGGTTCGGTTTGCGCCGAATTAGGAGGAAAATTGTCTCGAGGAGAATGTTGGACGAAAGTGGGAGAAGTTCGATGATAGGTTTCCCCGGAATTCTCTTGAGGAGATTTCTGGAACGTTTGATGATGTTGCGGCGGTTGCGGTTGTGGTTGTTGCTGTTGTTGGGCCGATAGTTGAGAGTAAAGAGGTGGCTGTTCGTAAGACGAGGATGGATAGGCCGGAGACAGAGGATGATTTTGCGGCGATGGTGTCGGCGGCAACTGAGCACTGTATCTCGGAGGTGTGGCATAATAGGGACTGTTGTAAGGACTGCTTCCCGTCGATAAAGCATCTTGATAAAATCCGGCTCCCCTTATCTGCGGTTCAACCGAACCCATCACGGACTGCCCCTGCGGAGACCGAGCTGAACCGCTCCGTCCAGGTGGCGACGACTCTTGGGAGAAACTGGACACGGATTCGCTAACGCTGCTACCACCGGTACTCGTTCTCCTTTGTCTATCGCAAAACGTTTCTTGCGATTCGTTCGCGTCTTTCTTTGTAGCTGCCGCCGCCGCTACGGCGCCGTCCTCGGATTCATCGTCTTTCTTTTTCGATTTCGGTGCACCGAATGCTTTGAACCAAGCACTCAAGTTCGGTGTCGCCGTTTTTTGTGGCTTTGTTTGTGCCTGTTCCCTTCCGCCAAACTTCTTATCTCCCGTCTCCTCTAAAGCCGCCTCGGGTAATTGCATCGTCGTCGTCGTCGTCGTTGTTGCTGTCGCCGACGCCATCGTTGTAGTCGCCGCCATCGTTACCGTCGTCGCAGCCGTGGTCTCTATATCAGCATTTGTGTTGGGACCAACACCCGTTCCGATCCCATCCTCTTTCGAATTAGACTGTGAAGCTGCCGTGAGAGCGTTACGCTCTTCCTCCTCGTCGTCATTCGAAAAATTAGGATTAGGCGAGGAAACCAAACTCTTGCAAATCAATTGTATCGAATCGACATTCTTCAAAACGGTACCTAGACTGAGTTTTGGTTCTTCGATCGTACTTTTGTTCGGTTGATCGGTGTCGTTGCCCGATTGCATAGCCGCTTCGGTATTGTTAGCGTTCGATAAATTCAACGGCTTTTTCAACAACAAATTTCCTTTGCTCTTTCCGGGTTGTAAACGGTCTATCGTGCGTTGGATCTTTTTCGGTCTGCTGGGTCCGTGAGGGCCGAAGATTTTAATCGAACTCGGTCGTTTTCTCGACGCTTCCGTCCTCGGACCCGCTGTCCGGCCGGATTCAACGGACGTGGAATGAATTATCGGCGAATCACTTCCCGAGGAGAATTCGGAGAGCTTCGGCGCGTCATCTAACCATTTGTTGATGTCCTATTCGCGGATCAAAAAAAGAAAGTAAACAATGATTATACATACATATAGCAAACGTGTACACATACTATGTACGCACATATACATATTTAGATGTGTAGTATCAGATAAATGTGAAACAATAAAATATTCTTACATGAAGCGTTTGCTCTGTTGCCTGGTTCAACGCTTGTATCGAGCTCTCCTCTTTCCCGAATCCTTTGGTAGCATGCTTCGAATGAACTAGTTTTACTTTTTTACCATCGGCGACGAGAGGCAGTTGGTCTCGATTTCGACCCTTCGCTCCTTGTGCATCCTCCTGCGGAGCGGTAGGAACTTTTCCTTCTCTCATTCCCTTTCTTAATTTCGCCCGTTTCGCAGTGGCTTTATCGCCGCCGTCGGCAGGAAACGTACTACCGTTTGAAGGCACTTTTTTCGAATACATGTTGTGATGGGATTCGCTCCTCGTACTTTTTTTCTGCTTTCGGTCTTTTTCGTTTTGTAATTTCTCCTCCCGTCGTCTCTCGCTTATTTTATCCTTTAAACCGTCTAACGATTCTATGTCTTTGTTACCTAGAAATGCGGTAACACATTTTTTAGATGTACGCGTTTCCTTCGAATCGAAATTGTTCGCTAAATCGATATCTTTTGAATCTATTTCACTCGATATTTCCCCGTTTCTCGGTTCCTCGTTCTTTCGTTTCGATTTTTTCTCTCTCGCATATTTCGCACTACTTTTCTCCGGTTTATCAGTCTCGAACTTGGACAAGCCTCTCGATGCCGTTTTCTCTTTCTTCCGACTCTTCTTCGCTTTGACACGCAAACTCTTCTTGTTCTCTTCCACCAGCACCGGACCGATCGTTTCCTCTTCGCGAGATTCCTTTCTTCTCACTTTGTTCTTTTTCGAGTTGTCCACCGCCGTTAACATTTCTTCGCTCGACTCAAGCTCCTTCTTTTTCTTCTCGATTTTCCTACTTTTACTTTTCGCGACGACTGATAACGGCTCATGATCCTCCTCGAAATCTTCTTTTCGCTTCATATTCTCTTTCATTTCTTTCATCGGTCGCACGTATGTATCCGTTTCTCGTTTCTTTTGGCGATGACGCTGATATTCCTTCGTTACCTTTTTATCTATCTTCCTCTTAATATCCACCGACAGCTCTTTGGACGACAGCTTTTTGGTTTTCGGCGACAGATTATTCCCATCGAAATTTTTCCTCCTTTTCGACGTCACGACGACGCTCGACTCGGAGGACATGGCGTCCTCGCTCTCTCGCGTCTCGTCTTCTTCTCTACTTTCTGCCTCCTCTGCATCCTCCTCATCCTCACCCTCGCCCGCCGCCTTCTCTTCATCATCTTCTTCCTCTTCCTCCTCTTGTTCTTCCTCCTCTTCTTCCTCCTCGTTCACTGACTCTTCGTTCTTCGCCCTCTTACTCTTCTTTTTACACTTTTTCTTTTTCGGAAGTTTATAGTTCTTTCCCCGTTTCTCTTCTTCATCGTTTTTCTCGTTAACTTTCGGCTTTGCTTTAGTCTCCGTCTTGTGCGACTTCGAATTTCTCTTGGCAGATTTTTTCGAACGTTTCCTGTTCTGATGGGGAGAAGAAACGCGAGACGGACAAGAGGGAGACACGGGCGTAGCAAGAAGTGGCTTTGGTGACGAAGGATCCTCGTCGCTGGACGCTTCCGACTCCAAGTAACGATTCACAGCTTTATCGAAAGCATCCTTCAAGTTGAATGCCATTTCTGTGTACTCTGTGTGCAAAACAAAATGGAACGAATAATGATACGCACGATTGGTAAAAACGAATCTAGGACGATCGATATACAATACTAACCGTTGTCGGAACCATTGTATTGTCTACAATTATCTACTATCAGTCGAAAATCCCGTTTGAATTCGTTTAAATTTTTATATAAACCATTCTCGAGTTTCTCTTCCATCGTACCAAGATCCATAGGCTTTCGTACCACGCTGTAATACCTGTTGACAATAAAAATTTAATTAATCAACCTAACTGAGATAGAAGTTAACGAACGGCATACAGCTAGAAATGGTACGGACCTCGGGGCGTATTCTTCGTCGACGGGATCGACGAACGGCCAGGCATCCACGTGATCCTTGAGACTCTCGAGGACCTTATGCATTCCGACTCGGCGTTCCTCCTCCTCGATCCCAAACGAGTAAGACCCGTACTTGTATCCATAGTTCGAGGATACATAGTGGCCATCGCTGTTACCTCCGGCGCCTTTCTTTTTTTCTAATACCTCCGTTTCATCCCTGGTGTGGATCACGATTTGGCCGACGGCCGAAGCCAACGAATTGTTCGTCTGTCTACCTTTCTTTTGAATCGGAAGCGGTGAAGTGAGCGATGTCAACAACGGTGGCGGTGTCTCCTGTTTAACGACGTCTCGTACGCTTTGCGATTGCCCTTTACCCTTCTTATTTCCTCTGTTCGTTTTAGTTTTGATCTTCGATCTAACCATGTTCACCGTTTCCATCTGCGCCGTCGTCGTCGCCGCCGCCGCCGCCGCCACCGTCGAGGGTTCGTGACTTCGTAGAACGCGCGAACTATTGCGTTGCAATAATTTTCGCCTCTGCTGTTTCTCTTTTAAATCGAAAAGTTTCGGGATTTCGGGCATGAAATCTTCGGACAGAGTACGGTAAAGCTTACGTTCGGTATCGTACTCCTAAACGTTGTACATACACAGAACAATTAAAGATTGCACGATCGTTCGATAAAGCTAAATTCTAAGGGGTAAATAGAGATATTGCTTAATTACATTAGAGCATTACAGAACAACTGGGGAATTACCGAATCACGAAATTTCTCAACTAGTCGACTCCAATCCTGCTGAGTGAAACAGACGACCTGCCAAACCCTCTCCTTTCCTTCGTCTTTGTCGACGTCGTCGACGTCGTCGCCTATTAAACCTTCCTTCTCCTCCTCCTCCTCTTCCTCCTCTTCCTCCTTCGCCAATCTGTTTCGTCGTCTTTTACGCTTTTTATCCCTAGGCTTACTATTCTGTTTTTGCGAGACACTGTTACAAGTATCAATGTAGTCCTCCCTGTACAATCGAGTTCCGTAAAAGTACCAATAGGCAGAATTCTTACGATCATGTCCTAATGGTTCGACTCGCAGACTATCCGAGTCCAAATTACTCAACGATTCCTCCTGAAACATGAGCCTGTTAGATAATGATATCCCTTAATGTAATACCGATGCGATCGATCTCGCGCACTGCCGCGCGTACGGATTCTCGTTTCAAAACGTACCACGTCTTCGGCGTCAAGCCTGAAGTCGCAGAGAGCGCGTAAGATTTCTACTTTTTGACGAAGCGGTAGTAGCTCGAAATCTACGTCCGTGTTGAAAGGATTCTCACATTTGTATTCCTACAAGCAGAAAATACACGCGGTTCGTTAATGTTTCTCCTCTTTCGAGTCTCGTCCATCCCAACAATACGGTTCGATCTCGATCATTTCTGATCTACCTACACCTCGGCCCACTCACCTGGCACTTTTTTCGAAACAGTCTACGGAGAAACATCTGATAGTTAAAAGTAGATATGTCATTGCGCGTGTCGTTCGGCAGGCAACCTTCGAGCAATCTGACTATCAATTCCTGTACCAGTCGCCCCTCGCTTCCACCGTCTGTTAACAGAGCTTCCTCCAGGTCCTAAAATGAACCGCGTACAATTAAGATGTGTTCGCATGCTCTTCCAAGTGTAAGTTAGCGAGAAAGCAGTCGTGCGAAAGAAGGTAATGCGTAAGCCTCAAACAGGAACGTTAACGTAAAAGCCGAAGCGTGTGGACTGTTTTGACACGTTCTGGACGCTGAAGCGATCAAAATCTGGATAGCACCGGGTAGGTACGTATCTGTGTGAATACAGAGCCAGCATTTAGGTAGGTACCTCGATATCAAAGTCCAGAAGATTGAAGGCGGCCCTAAATAATGAGCAGAAGTGTGCTATACTTGGCACCTCCCACCACGATTGAATGTCTAAAAAAAATAAAGGAACAATTGAGAGTTCCTTAACATTGCTACTTCTCCCATCTTTGGAACGTATGTATCTATTTTCTGTACTCTACTCTAGCTTCCCTTCCTACTTTCCACCTACTCTTCTTTATTTATCATCTTCCCTATACTCGTCATTGCCTTGTCACGTGGTATATAACATATGTATAACATACGGAAACACGTCGACTAACATAATATTTTATCTTTAAAACTAAGAAAAGTACGGTAAGTACATAGATAGAATATGACAATTCGTAATCGACTCGTGTAAACCGTGCATACCCTTATTCATTAAGCATTATATTATGTGTACATATGAACGTGCGCATACCCATATTCGTGTATGTTTTACTCGCAGAACAGATTAAATAAATTTAACGTTATTCACAGATGTGCACGCGCATATTATTCGTCTGTGTTTTGAATTTGATATCGATGGTCCATCGCACTGTTAAGAACACAATCCGAGTGCACGCATTATTCGTTTTCGATGTCTCTCGTCGACAATGACCATTATTACGAAGTACACCCGGACTGATGGAAAACAAAACTTAAACAAGATGATACCGATCTCGATCAGAGAAGAAACTATATGTAAATACTTTTAAATAAATATGATTAGGAACAGTTAAGTAGTCGAATTTTCGTTAAAATTTCGTAAAGTTTTTCGAAATATTCTTGTACACGATGCGACAACTACGATAAAATAGAATGTAAAATACACGTTACAGTGTTACGTATGAATGGTACGAATCTTCGTACGAGTAATAATAATAATATCGCAACTGCAGCTATAGTTGCAAATATATGTGTATGCACGTGTAGATTAGTAATTAACACTTTACGTACGTATACGCGTACAATTTAAAGGTAAGGAAAATCCAAAACGATTCCGTCGCTAAACTCGGGGTCATTGACAAGACTCCTAATAGTACTACGTACATACATACGTACGCGTGTATTGTACCTTCGTTCGTTATAACGTACACGACATATACGCATACCGGTGCTGGTGTCGTCGTGGTAAACGACTAACGAAGGCAAACAAAGAAAACGGTAAACGAAAGAAACGAAGTATTCGAGTCATTCGCGTAACGATCGTTTATTCTATAGGCATGTATCGGGGTAGTAGATGAATCAAAGGAAGCAAAGACAGATTTTACCTAGGATACCGATGAAAGTCGGAAACATAACCCGTCGTGTGGCGGGCAAACCGGGGGCGGACGAAACAGAGTCAGAATGAAAACTGTGTCGATGCGTCGTCGCGTTGCAGAAAAACGGCACGGTGGTAAATCGCCGCGTGCTACCGTCGGGTCCGCCAGTCGAAAGTAGCCTCGGCTTCCGTAGACCAGCTCCGATTACGAGAGATCCACAGATCGAAAGACGTATCAAAGATCCTTGCTCGGCCGACGAGGGTGCCGATCGTTTTTAACGCACAGGGATGCGCATCAGTGGAGATGTACGATACCCGTACGGTCGTGGTCATCCAAAATATGAAAGAGCGGGCAATCGCGATTCCGATTCCACATAGCTCGTCCCGCTGCCACCGCCACCGCCGTTGCTGGTAAACGGGATCGTACGATCGAGTGCATTCGTAAAGATTAATGCGATTCGTACCGTAACACCGAGTTCCGGATAAACGGCCAACACCGATTCACTTGGTCCGTTTGCCACAACGCACAACACTACAACTACACGAGTCGACAGCGATGCGCGCGACACTCGCAACCATATTCTAATCGGCTACAGCTACGGTAATGCTGCTGCTGCTGCTGCTGCTGCTGGTACGAGCCGCCTTGAAACAAACACGATCACTAGGCTTCTTCGTCGATGATCAGGCATAATCCTTTTCGCACGAGCGTCCAGCGATACGAATACGCATATGCGTCGATTACGCGGATATCCCGTAATCCCGTTCGTTCACCGTCGTCGCCAACTTTTTCTCCCAGTCTTTTCAAATTCAATTTCACGTATGCACGTATTTACATGTACGTGCGTAGGTGCCTCCGTCGCACACGCTGTGCGCGCGCGCGCGCGTGTCTCCGTCGTACACGTCGATGTTTCGTTAAGAATAGTTTTTCGGATCGTAAAACGATCGCGCTAGGCCTAAGATCGCGACCAACGCAAACTCGACAGGAGAAACACATACACACGGGTGGTATGAATTAGTCACGGTTCGAGGATCGAACTGATAGAACTGGTATCAACTGTGAGTAGGTTCGGATCTTCATTTCATGTCCGTGAATCGTGTGTTCGTTGAGTTTGCTCCGAGAGTCTGGGTCTGGGTTGGCCGCCTGGGACTGGTCGCTGGCAATTGTTGGTACAGTCAGGTGCGGTGGTCGTCGCTGATGCACGGATGATGCGAATGAATACCAGCGTGTACGTGTGTGCGTGTGACTACTGAACTATGCAACTGGCTATCGATGGTAAGATGATAGCTGTGAGCGCGAATAACAAACGGTAATCGTAATCGACTAGATCGCAAACTATAATCACTGCAACCTGCTGCAACCTGCAACTGACTGCTGCTGACTGCTGAAACTGCCGACAGTGTCGACGCTGCCGACGGCCGACACCGATACTCGACAAGTCGACAGCAAAGATGCCAGATTGAAGACGGGAGCTACCGAGAATCAGCCCCTCCACTTGCGCACACTATCGCATCGTATCCGTGTGCTCCGAGCTCGGTTCAACTTCGGTTCAGTAGAAAAAGAAGGCGAAACATCAGTCCATCACACTTGCTCCGACTGCTTGCAGCCGACTGACGACTGTTGTACTTTAGTGCATCAGGAGCAAGAGTAATGGACTGATGTTTCGCCTTCTCTTTCTACTGAGCCGAAATTGAACCGAACTCGGAGCACACGGATACCATGCGATAGTGTGCATAAGTGGAGGGGCTGATTCTCGGTGGCTCCCGTCCTCAATCTGGCATCTTTGGTTTACAATGCCAACCGTGCCAACTGCAATTGTAATTGCGAGATTGTGAGTGCGGGCGTAACTATGGCTGTGCACAAGCATTATACAGATGAGTCGCGTATAAACCGATTTGGATTTGGTGTGTGGCGGATTGGCGGGAAATCCATCTTCCGATACCGGTCAACTTCAGCTTGCTCAACTAAATTACATTACCGATCCCTAAGGGTCAAGCTTGATGAAATTCCGGAAAGATAAAAATTTTTTTCTCAGAATTTAGAGAAGTGCTTCAAATAAAAGTTGTAGGTACACTGCTATTACCTGCAAAAAGGCCTGCCACTCTTCAGTAATCTCTCCTCGGTGATTACATGCACACACAGTAATGCACACTACTACGTGTTAGGTGCATATACTTTATCAAAGATAAATAAAGATAGATAAAGTGATAGAACAAATTGATTGAACTATATCTGTGTACACTTTAATTGTTGATGACTCACGATTTCGGTTGCTTACAATTTCAGTTGAAATTGACACAAGAGAAAATTTCTACGTAATCATACGATTATTTGTCAACGATTGAGGTTTCAGCACTGATTTCAGGTTGGTACAATTCCGTGTAGTTTTCCCGCGTTTCTATCAGCGCCAACGTCAACGTGCTTGTTCAACGGCAGCGCGTGTCGCGTGGTGCAACGTGCAACAATAGAAAATACAACGGATCGCTATTGTATTCATAATTATAATACAGTGTAGTAGCGTAGATTACAGTGTCGCGAATCGTACTATTCCTATTTATAACGTAAACTGATTGGTTCGTTTTATACTGTGCTCTTTAATTTCTAATTTACGCTTGTCAACGCAATAATCCAAATTAGGAATGGCTATAAAGTGGTTATGATACGTTAAGTCGTTATTTGCATTAAATGGGCGAGTAATCGATCCGAGCATTCGACTGTTGAGAAAGAAACATCGACGATTAACAAGAAATATAAAATTGAAAGTGTGATTAGACAACTTGAACGGGATGTCTTTGTTCGATTTGAATGAAATTGGGAATCAGTTGAGGAAGGTCGCCCAGAGCGATGATGCCGGCACCGGTGTGTCTTTCGCAAACAAATCGCTGAAGCTTGATACCGAACAAGACGGTGAGTAGTTTAATTAAAATTACTATACTACTATTTGCTATCTACCTATGATTTGTTTGGTGATGTGACGTTTTATTAGGTGACTTGATATGTACGGGTTGAAGATTTGTTTAATTTATTATTCGTTTAGCGTTGACGATCGTTGAAGCAATACGAACATGCCCAAATCTCGAGTACCTGGATTTGGAAGGAAATACATTAGGACCGCACGCTGCCAAAGCTGTGGCCAAGGCACTTAAAGACAATGGTTCCACGTTGAAACGTGCTCTATGGAAGGATATGTTTACTGGCCGTTTAAAGTCGGAAATACCTAAATCTCTCGAATATCTTGGCAATGCTCTGTGTACCGCGGGCACTCGTCTTTACGAACTTGATTTGAGTGACAACGCTTTCGGTCCTATCGGAATCCAGGGATTGGCAAATTTTCTAACATCTGATACGTGCTATTCTCTCCGTGTGTTAAGATTAAATAACAATGGACTCGGAATATGTGGTGGCGAAATGTTGGCAAAAGCATTGTCAGATTGTTACGACAACAGTTGTCGAGCAGGTAAGATACATCATTATTTCGTTGAAAGTTGAAAGATATCGAAGACTAACACACTCGTCTGGTCTGATTTCATGCTTCAGGATCTCCTCCTTTGGCATTGAAAGTATTCGTTGCTGGAAGAAACAGACTAGAGAACGATGGTGCCAAAGCTCTGGCATCAGTTTTCCAGAAATTAACCACGTTGGAAGAAGTGGTTATGCCTCAGAATGGTATATGTCACCCAGGCATAACGGCGCTTGCCAATGGGTTGTCTTCTAACCCTGGACTACGAATTTTAAATCTCAACGATAACACAGTGGGTTTTAAGGGAGCTCAAGCGATCGCCAAAGCGTTACCGAATTTCAAAAATTTGGAGCAACTTAATCTCGGCGATTGTCTACTGAAAACTAAAGGGAGCATCGCATTGACGCAAGCGTTGGGAGTTGAGGGCAATTACCCGTTACTTGCCGAACTTAATTTGAGTTTTAACGAAATCCGCTCGAGAGGCGCCATTCTCATAGCCAACGCTATGGCTGATAAGCAGCAATTGGTATCTTTACAATTGGACGGAAACGTCTTTGGCAAAACGGGTCGTGCTGCTTTGCGTGACTCCCTTCGAATGTCCGGAAGGATTGACTCGTTGGGTACGCTCGACGAAGACGAGAGCGGCAATGAAAACGAGACGGACGAAAACGAGGAGGGATTGGAAGAAAACGAAGACGAGGAACAGGAGGAGGAAGAGCTTGATGAGGAAGAGGATGAATACGAGGATGAAGACGAGGACGAGAACGATGATGTAGAACTGGGAGTGATGGAGGAAGAGGAGAGGGTGGTGGTACTGGGAGAAGAGCGAAACGACAGGAAAGGAAATAGTGGCAGAATCGCGAATGGTAATGTCACACGATCGGCCACGGTATCCGTAGTGGAATTTTTAAAATCACCAACGGGAGAAAAGTTGTTACTATTGGAAAAGAACGCCGTGGAGGAGTTTGTAAATGAAGCCAAGGTACGTTAAGATTTACGGTTTTAATACCATCACGATATACTTCATCATATCTAAGATTGATCTGCGTTTATGTTTTAGAATCTGTCAAAAAATGCCGATGCATCATCGGAATTAAGGTTCGTGGAAGAATTTACGAAAATTGTTATGAAGGTATCGGCATTCAGTACGAGCGGTTACGTCGATATCAGGACGAAGGCTAATCATCTCACAGATGCCCTGTATTTCAAGTTATGTTCCTTCGCAGTGGAAAATGATCAGACTTCGGTCTGGAATAACGCTTTACTGGTTAACTTAGGTTTAATAAAGGTATACTTTCGTTTTTCCAAAACTAAGTAATTGTAGTTTACATACTCCTGTACGCTTAATATCTTCCTTTTTTTTTCAATTAAGGCCGAAGATAAAAAAAGTGGGAAGATCGACTGGAATCTGGAAGGTTGTTTCAAAGCTTTGGAAATGGTTAGTCAAAAAGATTATTTTCTAGAAGAAACACGAAACACATTGAAATTGTTTTTGGAAAAGCCAGTTAAAACGAGTAGAACGAAAGTTGGCATAGATTCGTTTCAGGATATAAAAGATTCCCTTAAAGCTGTATTAAGTCATACACAAAGCATAAGTAATAATTATTGAACATTTTCTTGGACGCACAATAATCGTTTTATACAACATCGATACGTCGAATATAAATAAAATGAATTTTTTTTCATTTTGTATGTAAACATTTACTTTACTTTCGTAGTAAATCGGGCGTATTCGCAAGTCATCCAGCTACCGAAATGAATCGAATCGACGCGTATCAAATTCGTCTTTATATTGTAGTTAAACGTAGCGTAGCTTTCAACTTGCAACGAAATTACGACTGAAAATCACCGTACGGAATAAATACCCGATCGTCGTTCATCGTTTACCCGTTCATTAAATTAAAACTTATTAACGTGAAATGCATTGAAAGCGATTCACTCATCGTTCGTCGCGACTTTTGATCGTTCCTATTACATTGATAACAACGAGAAGGAGAAGAACTTGAAACAAATTTCGTATTATTCTGTGGTGAGGTAAGGATTCCAACCTGGTTGAAATAAATCCGGTTCTAACGACATGCAATGCGACGTTTGCTGATCCTTCATGTATTGAGTTACCTAAAATACAAGGAAAATTACGCGAATTTACGATAGAACGTTTAGTATCGATATCGATACGAACATGCGAGGCGTTTACGTACGAGAAATAATATTAATTGCTGTTTCTTATCGGAATCCCAGTCTTCCCCAAGCGCCGAGGGATATATCACGGCACCACCATTCTTTCTTACCTCAAATTCAACTAGTTTTGAACATACATTTCTATCGACTGTTACCATATCGAAACTAAAATATGGACTGTTGGGCGACGCTGAAAAAAAACACATGTCTCATGATAAAAATAATAACAAGATTGTTGTTTCCTACTTAAAAATTAAGATCGAAGCTTCGAGCTCGTCCAGAATTATCCTAATTATTGTAACCGTAACTTACTCCTCACCTATGCTATTTATGTCGTATGACAGAAATCTTTCCAATAACTTCAAATTTTTTGGAGCTCCCGTAAAAAGATGTGGATAACGTCGCATCAAAAGTTTCGTAAGCAACACGTTACCTCGGTTCCCCGATAAACGGTTAACATTGGGCGTACATACTATTTCATCTTCTGTCCTTCGTATCAACAATACCGTCCCGTTGTATCTTGAAAATAGACAAATATCGTTCATTCTCACGTACTTGTGCGATGACACGCGGCAATCGGCGATATACGTTGTACGTAGTACCTATTTAATTGTTCGGCAATATTCAAATTGAAATAGTCTCTGATAATGTTTCGTACCAAACCTTCCAGCCACGGGGGCATCGTCATGATAGCTAATGGAAGTACATCATCGAACGTCGCATCTAGTATCTACAAAATGTATTATACCCTACGTAACGCGCTATCCTTTCGTTCGGAAAGCGATTAAATGAGTTTTATACGGGTACGGACATATACGATCGATAACATTTTCCTAGCATCGATCATCTTACCAAACTCTGGATCGATGGATAGTTCATAGCGGCCCACGTTGCAGTATATCCGCCGATACTCCATCCGTAAATAATTATTCGTTCCTCAGGAAATTTTAATCGTTCGATTGCGAAACGCATCACGCAATCGACTGCATTTTCTTCTTGCGACGGATAAGGCGCACCCTTTTTAAATATTTTCCAACGTCATTACCTACATTATTAAATCTCCAAATGCATGTTTTTTAATATAATGCTTACAGTACTACTACCGAAACCTGGATGATTCCATCCTAGTATAGAATATCCTTTGCTCAACGGAGTTTGTACGATACCAATTTCGTAGAAGCCAAAATTTCCTTCACACGTGATAACCAATGTATTACCATTGCGCAATCTACAAAGTTCATATTTACGTAGAGATCAACGTTGAGATAAAACGTTTGAATTGGATAGAGAGAAATAATGTACCTTTGACGTTGATCTATGAACATAGCATCGATTTCGTTATTATCCACGGTTAACAATTTATATCTTTCCCCATTGTACTTGAGCTTTTTCTGTATTCTGCCTTGCAAAAGAGTAGAACCTGTATACACAACGAAGACGATCGTGGATCGACGAATAGTAATGGACGATAATTATACTATTAGTTAACTTACGCAGTAACGCCCAATTAAGAACGAACACGCTTCCAGGATATATCATCTTGATAGCAAAGGTATGAGCTACGATGTAGGATAAAAATTTACAAGGTAACGCAAACATAAACTCTTTACCAGCCAGTCTTTTTACGCGACCACTGGATTGACTAATCGTCTCTAATGTTAATCTTTCTCTGGTCGTATCCCTATCGACACAAATGCAAATGTAAATTGCAAAAAAATAAGTACTTCCAGCTTACTTATTTCTAACATTTTGCATCGAACGGATTACTCGATAAAGTAAACGACAAATTTACCTTTCCACTTCGCTCTGATTCGCGTTGAAATCGACGGGTTTTGCCCAGAATTCAAAGTGGTATTTTTCGAGTTCTTGCCTCGTTTCTGCGTCATAACGAGCGTTTGCTTCGGTCAGCGTAGTCAAGAATTTCACGTAGACCGGATTAGTAGCTCTCGAGTAACCACGTGCAGCGAACGACATCACGAAAACTGCACTGATGCGCGCTATTAGATTGCTCAGAGAACCAACATTCTCCGTTACGTACGTGTAAGTTTGGTGATAGAAGAGGATAGCCACCAACGGAATCGTATACGGACTTATGGACCAAATTGCTGCAAACTGAATTTTATTCTTATTGGAACCGATTTTTCTATTTACTAGAAGTCTATCTGTGTATGATCAGAAAGAAACGATTCAACGGTAGATTGACTCTCAATAGGAAAAACGTAAAAACTGTAATCGCGTAATCGCTTATTAGAAAATTAGAATTCGTCAACGTCATTGTACACATCATCTCGATCAGAGTTCGAATATGGTACAAAAGTTCCTGGCAAGACGGCACAATTTTCATTTGCGCCACGTTTACTTACACAAATTACGATTTGATCACTTAATCGTTCCAAGATGTTAGCTTCGTACGGTTTCTGAAATAAATTCATTTATTCGTATAACCTCTCTTCTCCTGTATACTAGCGTAGCGGAAACATTTCGTAGTATTAATCAATACGTACAGCTATCAGGTGACCATTTTGCAGTACTTCGTAAGCGTTAAAGAGCCGAGGGCCAAAATTGCATCTCCAAAGTGTGAGAATGAAAGACATTTCTCATTTGTTTCAAGTTTCGAGTTTTAACCGTTTTGACTGCTCCGAACGCTCCCGCTCCGGAACCGTACTGCGAATTCGCGTTTTCAAATATCTAACCTAACAACACTAACATTACGTACTTACTTATTGTATGGATGTGCGTGTGTGCGGTGCGGTTTAAAGAAAGGGTCTGTCATCTATCCATCTTTCTTCTACTGTAGTTGAGTGGGAGTTGAAATCGTGCAGTGGCAGTAGTAGTAGTAGTACTGACAGTGCGTAGTGCGTGATCTGCGTGACTGCGTGCAGTATGTGTCGGCTGCGGTTGCAGACGCTAATGATGAAATTAGTATCAACGTCGGTTCTCACATTGATCATCATCCCTTGCGTATCGTACATGTATTCTTCCGATCGGTTTGCGACTTTTTTCGATACGAGTATGTGAGTATCACACACGTGCATGGAGTGCATACGCAAACGTATACGCTATCGGTGAACAAACTATCGTGAATGTGTATGCATCCACTTGCGGTTTACCGTGCGTTTACTCGGAATCGTTCCTTACTCCGTTCTCGAGTTACCGAGTTTTCGCTAGCTGACTCGACTAGGATCGACTCTGTATGCTGATATGCAAACTCGGATTGAACGAAAAGCATGTCGATCGAGAAGAAGGAAAGAGGGAAATTCTGCGAAAGTGTACCACCTAACATTATGAAATTAGCCGCAACATTCTACGCGCTATTACTCGGTTTATCAACAATAATTACATTTTCCGATGCGAAAGAAATAGGTGCGTTTCTTTTATCTAAATATTCGTATATTGCATGTGCATGAGTTTAGCTGTTCCATTGAATGACGACGACGACGACGACGAAGACTATAAGAATTGTTGATTGTTGACTACGAGACAACTAATGGGCATCGACTAGTGATCGGAAAAAGTCTCTTTCAAAATCGCAGCATCTCTAACGATAAGGATCGCTCGTTTCAAATTTTAATTGCCCGCATGATTTTCGAAATCGTCCGGTTGGTATTTTATTTAGAATTTTGAGACTGCTATTGAACCACGTCCAGTGAAACTAAGTTGAGCATGCGCCATCGACAAACGCACATGCGTAAGTTGTCTGCCGTGTGCCGTCGCGCCGTGTACGCGACAACAATGAACACGTGCTCTATGCTCTGTGTTTGAATACCAGACGAATTAAAACCGAAAACGATCGGAATCACGAATGTACATAATTCTGAACCGGACGGCACGTATACACGTATATGAGAGTAATCGTGACGTCTGTTTGTAGGCCAAGCCATTGGATTTCAAAAGGGTTGCGAACTCGCGGGTCTTCATCCACTCTTGATCGTTACGTACAAGAATATCACGATATCCGTAAGTTACGTGCAACGAACATCGTTTATAAATTGTCGAGAAATCTTGTCGATTGATACTACGTACAGCGTATCATCGACGAAACGATACAATGACCACAACATCTACTTACTGTAAAACTGACGTATTTGTCGCTAGGTAAATAAGATCACTGTACCTCATGGGGAACGCGTAACGATACGATGCAGAGAACTTGGCAAATACAAACTAGTTGGCGATTCTCAGTTGCATTGCCGTAACGCCAGTTGGAACGGCAAACTACCATCTTGCATTCCGACGACCGCTATCTCCAACTACACCGGTGAGCGTACCAAAATGTATACGTTTCTTCTAATTCCTGGTAGGATATGGCATTTCGAGTGAGCGACGTAGATTGATCTTGTCCCTTCCACTCCATTCGCCGCAGCATGTATTGAATATACAACTATTAATCGTTACTCGGTCCTGTTTCGTAATTGGTCTCCTCTCATTGATTGTTTGAGGAGAAACAGAGGCTGTACCACCGACGATCGTGTTTGGATTACCGGCAGGTTCGGCTGCTATTGAACCATCCGGTGCTCTCGCCGTTTTCCCCGGAAGCATTCTTCACTTGGAATGTTTGTTTGCCAGGAAACTCGGTAATCCAGAATGGACTTGGACTTCGACATTTCGTCAATATTTGACCGGTAATAAGACTGTTTATCGTTATTGCGTTTCCTATCTATGCGATGCATAGATGGTCGATATATGGCCCCGATGGTAGACCCGTATGCGCGTACGTCATCGTGATTGACGCTATTTGACGAAATTTAGGGTGGGCGATCGCTGCCCGCGAAAGAGACTGGAAGTATCGGCTATCGATATATTACGCAAAAGCACAAGATTCAGGAGTATACACGTGCTCAACACCCCGCGGCTTGTCGAACTCTATACGCGTTCATGTCGTCGGTAAGTGTTTTCGCGTTTTTAACGTTACTACCGTTTCCTTATTTACTATATAAGTACGACGTATATTATACGTATACTTATACGCATCATTAATTCGTGGAAACTGTATCAGATGTTTGTAATTAATTTGGGACGATGCATTGGTGGCATTGTCCGATTCACAGATGTTCAGTGTCCCATCTTGAAATTACCCGAACCACCGTTGGTCGGTAAAATCGAGGGTGCGCGTATGGGTCACAACGCGGTGTTCGAATGTCCTGTCGGATACAAACTGGAAGGCGCAGCGGGCATCACGTGCCAATACAATGGTGAGTAGGACCTAATCGCGGTCAGACGAAAGAAAAGAAGAAAGTTGAAAAGAAACGTGTTGCAGGTAAATGGTCCGGTGACGTACCACGGTGCGACACGATCCAGTGTCCGCAGATGGATACGGCCGATGACGCGTGGTTACAGCTGATCGAATACAACAATACGTATGGCAGTAAAGCGGTGTTCGCGTGCATGTGGGGCCATAAATTGGTAGGTTCACAGAGTTTGGAGTGCCAAGGAGACGGTTCGTGGAGCGGCGGTATACCTGAATGTATCGGTAGGCGTTACGATTTATCATTACTATTATTTTTACTCGTGACACGCGTCCGCGTAATGATCCATTTTCAGAAATCACTTGTCCGATTCCACTGGCGCCGAAGAGTGGACGTATCGTGGAACGATCGAATCGATCCAACAATAACAAATCGATGGGAAGGAAACAATCACGGGTCCGCGTCTACAAAGTTGGCGCGCTCGTCAGGTTCGCTTGTTTGCCTGGTCATCAACTGCTAGGCGAGGCCTCTATAATATGTACAGAGAATGGAACGTGGTCTCATCCAACTCCGGTTTGTAAGTTTTCTTACTCCACTTACCACTTGGACGCGTTTACACATTCGTATATGTAAATGAATCTATTAACCGTTTATCGTTTATCGTTTCACGTCTGACGTTATGACGACGTAATCGACGGTGTTGATTTTTGTTGACGCAGGTAAAGTGAGATGTCCTTATCCGGGCGATCCACCTCATGGACAAATCGCACCTCTTAAATTTTGGTACAAACCGGGCGATAATATACAGGTACACAGTCGAAAACTGACATAGTTCATTGGTTGGTTTCTACACGTTGTACATATCGCGTTCACGTTATTTTCCAGGTAACTTGTTCGCCAGGATATGTAACTCCTTTGGAACCGGTAAGGAAACCTACTTGCCGAGAAAACGGGATATGGAGCGCACCTCCGCCACCTTGCAGGTCGTATAAAGACGTTTAAACGTTAATAGTACCCGATTACATCTCGAAGACGCGAGATGATTGTTCGCGCTTTTTTGCTCGCAAAATACGTCAAATCATACATATCAACAAAGCTGATCGTCGGTCACTGCGTTTCCGTAGTTATTTGAGACTATCGTCGATCACTCGACGCGAATGGTTACCTCGCGATCTCGCGTTCCCTCGGCGGCTAGTATTATTAGTCACTTCTTGATCTTCGTTTGGAACGCGTTTATGCGCGATGCTTATCGTTAACGTTTATCTTTTCAACACACTTGTTCGCGTTACATGATTATAATTATAAATAATCGATCGCCTCATTGAGCTTTGTCTGATAGCTTTTATCAGATAATAAAGAGAGAAATTAACGGACCGTATCTCGCTCAATCGAGAACTTTCGTCCGATCTTAGTTTTTGCATTCCAATAACGATGAACGTCGTCGACTCGTGTTCGCACTTTTCATTTCCTGGTTCCACTACCATATCGTCGCATACGTGCCACCGATCTCTACGCGTATGTAGGACGCGTTTCATTCAAATTCGTTAGCATAGTACATAGTTTCGCGATGTGAAGAGAAGAAGAAAAGAAACAACGTTTGTATTTCGGTTACAAAGTTGATTCGAATGAGCTTAGGATAAATAATGAAGGTTTAGAAAAACAGAATAGGATAGAATTATAGGAAAAAGGAATAAACGAAGAAATAGAAGGAGCCGATGTATGTATAATGTATGAGGTATAATGTATATCGTGTGTAGGTCCGGAATTCGTCCGTCGATTTAGCCTGTGCTACTGCATCTCGCATCGACGAATGCTAGATGAGATGACAGAGGCTGAATCTTCGGGATCGATCATCGATCGATATAATTACACACGCATAATTCTAACGTTCTAGTCTATAGAGAGATAGTCTACAGAAAGAAATCTAGAATCTTTCAGATTTTTCGCTGGTACGCGCGCGGATCACGTATATACATCTTTGTACGTACATATGTAAAATAAAGTTGCACGTTATTCTCTAAACTGTAAAGTTTCTTTTTATTTCGCATACAATAACTTACCTCAAACGTATGCGTGTAATAGCCGGAACTGGAGAGATTGTGTGATAACCGGATCGCATCGGACAAGTATTGGTTGGCGATTCGGTAGAAATGGTAGAAACTGGCACTGGCAACTCGAAACTGTCGAATCGCGTATCGTAAATCGTCGTCATACGTCATACCTCGTACTTAACTTCGCGACGATCTATTGCCGATGTCAACGAATCAGAATTCAATTCATTGTTCGCGAAGCTATATTAACGAAATTGTTGTCAAGAAATTTTACAAGGAATGTGTTAACGACGGACCATATGTAAAACGCGGGTACTCGTCTCTCACATTGATCGATCAAAAAGCTAGTTTAGGTGCGTACGGGTTACGGCTACGGAGAGTTCCGAAGGGTAAAAGATCCGCCGACTGCAATGTTATCCTACAAACGGATCGACACTATTCGCAGAGTAAAGGATGGGAGATGGTCTACGAAAGATAAATTGGAACAGTATCGGGGAGTCCTTAAATTACATGGTGAGTGTCGTGCTCGGAGTGCTGGCTACCGCCGTAGTAAGTAAGTACGATCGCTATTACGTTATTTTAAAACAGTGCGCGAAAAAAGGATACGGTCGCAAGATGCAGCAAAATTGAAGAACAGAGTGTCGTGGCAATTGGGTTTGTATAAACAAGACGTGAAAAAATATCAAAAAATCGTAAACGAGATAACGAAAACGACTCCAAAAGGTCAATTATACGGTCTATTACAAACACGTAAAGATTTGCGATTGCGATGCCAAGGCCGAGAGACGAGGGTAAGTATAAGTTGTATGCGTGTACCCTGTATACATCGATGAATACTCCCATAATAGTACATAATATTTTGTACGCTATTTAATCGTGGATCCTGCACGTACGTTTTCTTGATTGTATAGCACGTTTACGATTCTATTTACGAGGAGAATCATCAAAAACGCCGTCAACTGGATAAGCTGCGTTATGAGAAAAAGAGAAAGATGAAACGGTGTTTCGAACTACAAGTAAATAATCAGTCGTCGCGATATAAGCAAAAATGGTGAAATGCGATAGGTACAAACTATAGTAACTATCTATTATAATACGTGTATGTAATCGTATATAATACGCGATAAAGATAGAGCACGTGGAACTTTGCAATATATACGAGGAAGAAAAAGATGCACCATGGTCGCAGGATCGGCAGCAGCAACAATTGGTATCGCGGTATCAAAAGTCTATCGCGAAACAAAACGCGGCGAAGGCGATAAATTTGACATATACCTATATGCTTGAAATTTTAAAGAAGGTAGGTGTAATGTATGTACTTAGTTATATAAATATGCAGGCATCGTCGAGACTGATCCCGACCCCGCGATTTATAACTACAAGTCAGTTGCTGCACTAAATGATGAAAACGCATACTATCCATAGGACGCTATACATCACGAAACTCTGTTGGACGCGTTGAAGGAAGATCGCCGAAATCAATGCGAAGTGATACTTCGAACGACGATAATGGGTCAACTCGTTGCTGAGGAGTCGGATGATATAGAATCCAAGTACAAACGCGCTACTCGGCACGTTTGGCATAATATGAAGGAACGAGAACGCATGCTGACATTCGTGCGCGGTCAAGTCGAAGATTTGTGGTCGTTCGCCCAATCGTTGATACAAACGGAGGTAAAAAAAAAGAACGACGTGAAAAGTGATGAGTACAACTTCCGTTTCGAGTACGATTCGTGATGAAAAATAATACAAATTATTGTAGAGCGAAGCGATATTGACCACGGAAATCACGCGCGTTAGCAATGTATCGAACGAAGTATTGGAAAAGCAGATAATATCTTTGGAACGAATATTCGAAAAAATTAAAGATTCGTTGCTCGTACGTTCTTATCAAGAGTTGCTTACAAGGTACCTCGTTCCCTTCTGGTTTGTTTTATTTGTACGTATATCGTACGAATCATGTACGTAATGCGTGTTTCGCGATTTTTTTTTTCACAATCATCGGTTTAATGTATCCCAACGCTCGTCAGATTAGAAGAACAGATGAAACAACGAACAAGATTACTGGAACAATTTGAACGCAACGTTAAGGAGCGAGACTCTTTATTGACTAAAAAGAATGAAGCATTGAGCACGCTTTCAAATTTTGGTCATTCCCTTATAGCCAGTGCCGAAGAGTAAGCAGAACATTTTTGTCTCTTGCTTCGCCGAATAAACGATTTTACTGCTTACTATATTCACTCGTTCGTACTGACTTTCGTTCAGATACAACGCGGACAGAAATATTTTGCTAGAACAAATAGCGGTGCAAAAGAAACGTGAACTCGATCGTAAGAACTCTAAGAAAGAACGCGGTGAATTGTTGATGGAGATTAGAGCGGCGCTACAAAACATGGTGGCGATGCTCGTTTGTGTTAAAAGAGGTAATAGAATACCAACGAAGAAGACTATGGGCGATGCCGAAGAACGTTACGACGTACCGATGATAGAAAAGATGGAAACAGAAGGTTGCGTAAAAAATGTTAATTAGAAAGGAGCTCAAGCTCGAGCGTCTTCAACATATTTTCATATGTTTCCATAAATTCTTCTCCTTTCTCAGGTTTAGCGTTATTGTCGACCGTTAGTCGCAAAGTAGGAGCGTTGTTCGGAATGAGCAATTTCGAATTCGACAAAGACAGAGAAGAAAGAGCGAGGGACATGTATCAAACTTACGTTTCGAATTATCGTTCGAAACAAAAGTTCGATGATGCTGGTTTGGAACCGACCGGTGAGCATTCTTCGATCAATTTTAAAATCTTACTATCGTACTCGACGTGGCTAGTTACTCCACGACTCGGTAATCGTTCCAGGTCTCATCATGGAACATCAAGCGATTGATTCTTCGGTGCCGACGCGGGCGGATATTAAATTGAGAAGCAAACAAGCTGTGGAAGCCTATTTGAGATTAGCGTGACGCGCACATGGATTTCTTTCGTCTCGTCTTTCATGACGAGTCGATACACGCGTACACACTCGCGGTTAATAAAACGCGTAAAAAAAGTATACATGAAGTGCCTCTTTCAACGCATTGTATACGTATAATATTATTTATTTACATACGTGCGTGTAGCGTAAAAACGCTTAGCGCCATCCAGTAGTTTACAATTAGCGCGTTCAAATTCCGGAGAGTAAATGTAACGCGATACTTTATTTCAGTTCGTTCACACGTCCCCATCCTAAACGTTCGTGTTGTATTGCCAATTTTAGCCAAGAAGCTAATTGTCCGTTGATGGGACGAGCATTAGGATACTTGAGAGGTGGCTTCGGCTGTGCGAAAGGATGAACAGTCTGCAGTTTCCTTAGTAAAAATTGTTTCATCACGTCTCTCGGATCTTTGTATCTATCCATATAAATATTGAACGGATGTTTCAATGGAAACCACTCTTGCGGTCTAACGTACGGTTTGGGAAACTCGTACTGAAACACTGGCTCTGCTGAATCTGTACAGGAACGGAAATGGAAACGCATAATTAATACGAACACAATAAAAATTAAAAGTCGATGGTCACGTTCGAATTAAAGAAGCCGATTGTCGATCGTCGACGTACCTAATTCTGTGTGAAAGAATTCTTTCACCGTGAAATCCCAATCGCTTTGGAAAAACGATAAACCAGCAGGAGTAAGATGATCTTGATATTTACGATAAAATTCTAGCGTATTCCAGTTGCGTTCATTTAGCTGTAAACTGTAAGCTTGTTAACGCCAGCCGTCGACAATTTTATCCTGTCCCGATACGATACGCATGTGGATACTTTCGATGGCGTTACACTTACCAAGGTTCCGTTTTCTTGTATTCCCCGTAATCCAACGGCTGATTTTGTTTATAAAGAATAAATACGTAACGATAATAACCTGCCCCCCTAGCCGGAATCGGTTTGAAGTAGTCCATTATTCGTTCGCCTTGGTTCACCTTGTTCCCTGGAATGTTTCCCCTGTAAAAAAAGTGAAATATCGCATCTGCGATTATCCCGTGTATTCGTTACACGTGCAAGTTGTTATAATATAATCGGATCGAAAGTTGTTTCATCATCGATGGTACTTACAGAAACAAATGACAATATTCATCGTTCGGATTTTCTAAATTTCCATCCGGAGTAGACATTACCAATGTCCATAACGTGTTTTCTTTGACTTTGTAATCAATGTTCGGCAATTTGCATGCCTCCGCTGGTTTTATAACGTTTCCAGAATGAACTCTGACGAAAATATCATTGTCGATCTCATAACTGATACTCAGCGGTACGACCGGGAAAAAGAACGCGTCCCCGAACAAGTGTTGAAAAATACCATAGTGTTCTGCGATTTTATGAATCTCGAATGGACTCGACGTTTCCAACCATACTCGCCTCGCTTCTTCCAGGTCGATCGACACTAGAAAAATGAGCATGTACATAGACTGGTGCTGGTATCGATCTTGGCGTTATCCTGTTTTCTAACGCAAACAGATTAAACGCTCACACTGTCCGTTTCTCACTCTTCGCTCAAAATCCACGTCGGATCGTCTTTTCTTCCGTTCGGATGTCCACTCTTGCTTCTTTAGCGGCGAAATTTTTGGTACAGAAAAGCCTATGTTCACTTTAGCCGATAGTACTGGATCTGTTTCATTCAGCACTAAAAGTCAAAGAAATCATGACGAATATCCAGTTCTATAAGTCTACTCAAGGTACTAAAATATCATCCACTATACTATTACAATAAACAGTTAAATATCATGCAACGTTCCCCTATATGAATTCTCCAAAATCCAATGAAACTCAAATCAATCGTAAATTAAAATCAAGGATACGAACAGATTTTAATTTATCAATTTGTCAATGCGTATGGATAGATTTCTGTTTTCTTACACTCCAGTCGTTGCTTCAAAGTGCGTGCGATCATCGGCGGTTTTCCGCGAATATGATGGCCATGTCGAACTTGTTCCAGATTAACTTTCAACTTGGAAGTTACATCTTTTCGAACGATGCGTAGAGCAATAGTCGCCATGTGTGCTTAATTTGAAACGCACACTGTCATAAAATTCGATTTGTTTTCCACTTTCCTAAAAGAAGAGAATGGAGAATGAAGATAAGGTATATATTCATTATTGCCCGACATGCATACACTCCAAGTTTCGCCTCGGCGTCTAATAGGAAGTTTCAGAAGTTTGGGAAATCTCTATTCTTTTCATTCTTATTAAAGTTGACTGTTACGATTACGATTACGATTACGATTACTGTAAATAGATATACAGGTCCATCGTTCGAATTATACCTCATACCTACCGAAACTTTATTTACGATAGAAGTGTAAAACGATATAAACTAAATAACCCCCAAGAACGGCTCTGCTACGCGACACCAGCGCGATAATCGAGGAACTATTTTGCAATCCAAATCATTCAGATTTAGTGATATTTTCTTAAACAGAATTATGAGGCGATGAGGTAATATTTCCTTACACTTTTTTATTCATAATATTCTTTGTACAATCCCACATGTCGGTATAAGCCCCGATTTTCTAATTTCGTTTTGGAAACTTGAAAAAAAGACGCATTTTTGGAGAGAAATTTTTTTTTTATCCATTTTTCGAAAAAAGGGCCTTATAGAGGCCTGGACATACGTTTTCCGAACAAGAATATCTAAATTTTATGGCATTTTTCTACAAATTATGCCCAGGAAACGGTATAAACGTTTTCGTAGTTCCCCGTTTTTCCGCCAGGGGTACTAGTTTGATTCCTGTATACCCTTAAACGCACGAGCTGGAGCTGGGGGCACCAGCAGTATGAGGAACACGCAAAACCCGGGCGTGAGCACTCTCATTTCCTCTCTGCTATAATCAATGCATCAGCTATATAAGGCAAGGGCGGAACAAGTATTTCGGTGGAAAGCGAGTGTGGGGGGAGTCGGAGAGAGATACGAAGAGGCATTGAACCGATTTACCATTGTTGAGTTTTTTCAAGTATTATTTAAGAGAAACACGCGGAAGAAACATGTCTTATGAGACAAGTAAGTGGCGCACGTGTTTAAATTGGTTTTCACCCTCGCCGGATCATTCATTACCACTTTTTTTCCATGATTTCTCGAGGTTCCCAATTTTCCGGCCGCTTATCTCGAACTGAGTCATAACACTTCAAATGCCTCAATTTTTCACGTATGTCACGTATGTTGTTACGGTCACGATGCTCTGCAATTAAATCAATTGCGAATTTAATTCGAATAGTATCACCCATACGGAATTCACTGTTCACTAAACCTATCACAATGTATTTTAAATACAATATTTTATTTTATTTCCTGGATGCCGAACAGTTAGCTGACTATTTTCAATTCCTCTTTCTGCGTATGTTCATCTAAATATCCTACGTGATCCTAAGTGATTGCCTTTCGAGACGTTGGTGATTAGATTTCGATATTATTTTATACTAACGTAAATTTCGAAAGGCAATATAATAAAAAATACTTCATTAAATCTGTAGAAAGTATAACTGCAGAATTTAATGTAATTTATAAGTAATATTAAGCTACCGAAGTCGAAGGAAATTGTTAGCTTAGGAGAAAATACAGTTCCCATGCTTAAAATAAGATGAAATATTACAAATTGGAAATTTGCCAATGTATCAAGGAAGTAGTATTTTGGTTCCAGTTAAGAGATATGCATTTTCTTACACAATCCTCTTCTTTGGACTCTATTACAAGAAACAAATGTATATCTTGCAGAATACATCTTTGCTACATTACCAAGGACGCAAAGAGGACAGCCTCTTGTATTAGGTGGTGATCCTAAAGGAAAGAATTTTTTATATACTAATGGCAACAGTGTAATCATTAGAAACATCGATGTGAGTAATTCACAGTTTCCATAAAATACTTAAACATATTATTACTGTAATAATAATTAATTTATAGAACCCAGCAATTGCTGATATTTATACAGAACATTCATGTGCAGTCAATGTTGCAAAATATTCCCCAAGCGGATTTTACATAGCTTCAGGTGGTACGTATTGAAGTTTAATGTACAGACGTTGAGGTGAAATTGTATATATTTTAAATTATAATTTTTCTGTGTAGACCAATCGGGCAAAGTACGTATTTGGGACACCGTCAATAAGGAACACATTATGAAAAATGAGTTCCACCCTATCGGAGGTCCTATTAAGGACATCGCATGGTCGCCTGATAGTCAACGTATGGTCGTTGTAGGAGAAGGAAGAGAAAGGTGAAATATACAATGTTCTGGCGTGTAGTTTCAGATTTAGTAATAGTTTCATTTCCTAACGCGGCTTTAGATTTGGTCACGTATTTATGGCGGAAACCGGTACGTCTGTAGGTGAAATCTCTGGCCAGAGTAAACCTATTAATTCCTGCGACTTCAGACCCGCTAGACCGTTCAGATTGATCACCGGGAGCGAAGATAATACGATTGCCGTCTTCGAAGGACCGCCGTTTAAATTTAAGTACGTATATTGTCCGCATTTTACAGCACACAACCTTGATTTGTTAACACAAAACAGGCCGCCTAACATCCCAAAAAGAAATGAAGGTGTTTGATTCAATATTAAAAAAGTTAGTCTCTTTGAAAATGTGTCTGAATATCAATAGGAGTCACTACGCTTATTATTATGCATTTATTTATTTATGCGGTTTCGGTACCGATTTGAGATCGTTTACGACGTGGTGCCTTGAGCCAGTTGTTTTGAGCCGTGACCTAGTTTTGTTGCCTTCCGACGCCTCAGCAATGTACAGATCGCTCCCGCTACGGACAGTGTAGATGCTGCATTATCAGGAAATCTTAAAATGTTCGCATAGAATGACGAAACAGGAGCATGCTCGATTCGTTCAAGCTGTACGTTACTCGCCTAGCGGGAATCTATTCGCATCCGCAGGATTCGATGGGAAAGTATTTATTTATGACGGTACGAGTTCCGATTTAGTCGGAGAAATAGGGTCCCCTGCTCATCAAGGCGGCGTGTATGGAGTAAGTGAAATAAACATTATTCTATTGCGTCTACTTGTTTTTAAACAATTGTTAACAATATCGCAGGTAGCTTGGAAACCAGATGGAACGCAATTATTAACCGCTTCCGGTGATAAAACTTGTAAACTTTGGGACGTAGAGACTCGCTCATTGGTTAGTGAATTCAACATGGGAACAACGGTAGACGACCAACAGGTATGCACATTTTTTTTATTTTACGATGTATTCAATTCCCAAGATCTTTATCGAATTAAAAATTAATTTTTCTCTAGGTCAGCTGTTTGTGGCAAGGAAATTATTTGCTGTCCGTATCTTTAAGCGGTTTTATTAATTATTTAGACTATGATAATCCTACGAAACCACTTAGAATAATAAAGGTAATTCGAACATTTAATTAGAGGTAGCGAAATGCTCGAATCTTCGGGCAGTTGAACGATCGAACCGATTCGATTCGAGAATTCGAAGAAATCGAGTAGCTTTAATAGATCGAGCAGCTTGAGCACAAGCAAGTACATAACTCGGTTCGATTTTTCGATTATTTTAACACCTCTACAATGAACTCGCTTTGTCACAGCATGAGTCTTCTAACTGTTGCATCACGTTTAGGGTCATAACAAGCCCATAACAGTATTAACTCTGAGTCCTGATAGAAGTACAATTTACACTGGATCTCATGATGGGTATATTACTAACTGGAACGCGAAAACTGGAGAGAACGATCGCGTTCAGGGCCACGGTCATGGGAACCAAATTAATGGGATGAAAGCTGCAAAAAATTTGCTGTACACCGCTGGTATCGACGATACCTTAAGAACAATTGATATTGATACCAATACGTACTCAGATACGGCTATAGTTAAACTGGACTCTCAACCACGTGGTTTGGACATCTACAAAGATATAGTTGTCATTGTAACCGTTCGACAGGTAATTTTATCGCGTGCATTTTATTTCAAGTTAATGACTAATTAAATTAATGACAGTTACGTATATTAGATAACGATCGCACAAGATGGACGGAAGGTGTCTAATATTCCAATCGATTATGAACCATCTTGCGTTTCAATCAATCAGGAAAATGGTGATGTAGCTGTAGGAGCCACGACGGATAATACGGTATGTTTGTTAACGTTACAATGAAAAGATCAAATTAATGAAAGTACACGTGACGGGGTAAAAGTTATATTAAAAGTTATATGTAAGAATTTTCGTACAATTCAATGAATATAATTTTAAAATTGATTCCAGGTTCGCATATATGCACTGTCAGGTACTAGTCTCTCACCAAAAATTGAACTGGAACATCTGGGCCCAGTTACGGATGCCGCTTACAGTCCTGATAATAAATATTTGGTAGCTTGCGACACTAATCGAAAGGTTATTCTCTATACTGTGCCAGAATACAAGGTAAAATCGTTTGCACGATTTGTAAGAACAAATGCTAAAACACGATTGTATTTTATACGTCGCGGCTTGTATAAAGTTGCAGACAGCACATTAACTGCTTTTAAGTCTAATCTTTATCCTTAAATAATTCAATTCCTGCACATCTCACGCTTTTAACGTATTATTAGACAGCGGATTTTATGCATTCATAGAAAAATTGTAGTGACAGTGAATATAAAAAACGTTTGTCATGTTCAAAAACATAGAAAAATTACGGATGAGTGTTTATTACAATGTTTACATGATAGAAGATGAGTAGAATACATTTATCGTGAACGTTTTATTTTGCATAAAAGTCCGCAGTCTGCATACTATTAATAGTTGCCATTAGTAAAACCATTCTCATTGCTATTCCACGTTTTATATAAATATTTTTGTAAATATTGCTCCTCCTAAACGCTTGCCGGATTTTTAGAGGGTGAGTAGAGCTCGCTTGAAATTAATCATTATGATATTCTGATAAATACTCGACTGGAAAAATTTATTTAACGAAATGTAATTTCCTTAGCTTGCGCATAATAGGGAGTGGGGTTTCCATAATGCAAGAGTGAATTCAGTAGCATGGTCTCCTGATTCAGTTATGGTCGCAAGTGGTAGCCTCGACACTACGATCATCATTTGGAGCGTGACGAATCCAGCGAAGCATACTATTATCAAAAGTAGGTGTACAGTTAATAGTAGACTGCGGATTTTACTACGGACATAATATTTTTGAGTGGTGTATATAATTTTGAAACATGTATAAAATAAATAATGTTTATCTCACATTACGAAATTATACGAGTAAAGAATCTGCATAAATGGATTATATACATAAAAATATGTTCCAGAAAATGCGATTTTGCATGAAAATCCGCAGTTTGATTATTAAAATTTTCGATGTCGATCGATAACAGAAGGAAAATGAGAACGGTTTCGTTTCAGATGCTCATCCTCAGAGTCAAATAACGCGTTTAGTTTGGCTGGACGAGGAAACACTGATCTCGGTCGGACAGGACTGCAATACTAAGATATGGCGTATAGAAAAGATTTAATTAATATTTTTGTAACTGTATCTATCTCGTTCTTTTTGAAAGAGCTTAATTTTTCAGCGCATTTTATTTATTTCGTAGTTGATGAATAATATTTTAATACGGTTTCCCGAATGAGGTTGGTCAGATTGTATTGTGATCTTTTTTATATTCGGTATATATTGGAATAATCAAAACAAGTTACACAATATATATATATATATACATACACACACATATATATATATATATACAGATAAAATCGCTACAGTATCTTTTTACATTTTTGCGCAACGTCAATTATAAATAACATTTTTTACATACTACAATTATTTTTTAGATATTTACAATGTAAACGACGAAAATATGCTGTCTTTTTGATTGTTCGATTTTCACTGGGTGATTGTAAAAAGAATTAATCATGAAAAAAAAGAAAAAAATATCATCAAAACGAAAAATTGTCTATATCTACATTGTCTTTATTAAAACAGCGTAACGATAACAAGAAAAACAGTAACAATTCGAACACTAAGGGTCTCTCGAGGAACGTGATCACGCTTTAAGTTATTATTTGTACACTTAAAAACAATCGAGATGTTACTATAACTTGCCTTACTCTTAATCAGTCTAGTACTGAATATATCTCTTATGTAGAAACATGAGGTACACAAGTTTTCATATTGAATTCTCTTCCTAGTTTTTTTGTACAATATAAATATTCCACTTTTCCTATTCGCAATAAAATAAATGAAAAACACAATTGCAAGGGGTCATACGAAATAAAAAGTAATTTTAAACTCCTTTGTTCTTAACTCAGTTTTGGCGGATAACACGGATAACGTTTCACTGACTCGCGTCAACTTGCGCAAAGAAATTTATCACGAATAGGTACTTCTATCACCGATATACATTGGTTCTCATTAATTTTTGCACACATTTTTAATCGGCCCATTATCTTAATTTTTTAAGATGTTTGGAGACTTACTTGGGAACTATAACGTCTCAATTTCTGAATCATAATAACTTATTAATTTGTTTTAATCGAAAAAGTCATAGATAAATAACAGAACGTTTATCTCTCCGACAAAAGATGTCCTAAACCAGTAGATGTAATATAAATGGAGATACATGTTTCTATGGTTTTGGTGTAGTATACCGCGAACGTTTTTGCGGTGAGGCCACCGGATGCCTGTAGGAAACGTGTTTCCGTAACGCATCCCGCGATCTCGAGACATGCGAGCATGCCGTACAGCTGTACGAACTGTTACTATGCGTCTCCATATGTACCCGCAGATTGTACTGATTGCTCAGCTGTTTACCACAAATAAGACAAGTGACACTAGATTTGTTATAATTTTGCGTCGTTCTACTGCCGACGGAGCTCGTCAGAAATTTGAAATTTGCATCCCAAACGGGAGACGGATTCGCTTCTTCGACTGGCGTGACTTGATCTTCTAAAACAGGCGTACTCTCATCCACGCCGATTTCCGAATAAGTTTTCTCAGTGTACTTGTTGGTAGACGCGTTTATAGAAGGAATACTGATCTTTTGATTTAATTTCGCGTTGATAGAGTAATAAGGCTTTGTCTTTACACAATACGGTATACTTTCTTGATCGTTGAATGATTCTTCCATGTTTTCGGTCGTCTCGGTGTCTAACGCATTTTCTAAAGATTCTCTACCGCCTGACATCACGTTGTCCTTGCTCTGCTTTTTTATCGATGTATCAGCTAACGTTTTTTCCTGCAGCTGTTCCGGCGGTGGTTCGACGTATAAACCATTGTCGTGCCTCGAGTTTTTCTATAAAAGAAAGCAAATTATAATTGTGAATCATCGAAACAGAATACATTAAAGGTTACAAGTTACGTTTGCTTCCTCTAGAGTTCGATCTTTATGTTTCATCAAGTATTTCCTGTTCTACCTAGCCTCTGAGATTAAATATATTACTCATGTGACGAGTTTTCATGTAAGAATTGTATGTATCATTATAAAAATACTAGAATTCTTTAATTTTCATGCACGAGTCTTTCCATCGGTATTCCTTTATTTTAATTAAAAGTAGGACTGATAAGTATGTGTACATTAATTCTAAAATATTTGTTATAGCCACTCTCGACTAAAGTATGAAGCATTATTTTTGTAATGCAAAAAAGTACACATCATGTGAATAAAAAAAAGAGACTTAACTGTTCTAAAGTACATCTACCGACAGTTTTTAGTCATGTAGAGATTTTTTGGAAAAAGCTATTTTAGATATACCTGTAAACTCATTCTATGGGGAAAGGTTCCATGGGAGGCATCCACTTGCATTTAGTTGCAACACACACAACGATCTTGATCTCGTGGATATCGTTTATATTCATTATCGTTCCTTCGATGCACGTATGAACATAATATTGTGTAGTAGAGGTAATTCCTTCTGTGTGATACTTCTTGAGGAACGACAGTGAATGTATTTAAGTGACCTGAACAAAACAACACGATCAGAGGGTAATATAAAGATTAAACAAGGGAGAGAAGCGAATATTCGATGTATTCTTTTGAAATTTCTCTTGACTTTCTATTAAGGAGAACGGTAGATTTAATCAGTGTACGAGTATTGCTATTTTTAATTGTTGTATAAATAATTGCACTTTCTTAAATGATTAACTGAATGTGTAATTTTGTCTTCTACATGTCTTCTGGATTCAATGGGTTACAAGGGAATAACAATTACCAGGGGATTACTAATGTTTAGGGCGTTGAAGAAAATGCATGCTTTGTTACAGATGTTCTTTTCACGATCTCACGCCTCTTTCGACAAGGGACAATAATTGATCAAACGGTAATTCATTATGTGTCCCTATTTCATATGGGGTTAAAAAAGAATATACCAATTAGTAGGATAGTCAATTGAAAACAGTGCAATTATTATCCGCAGATTAAAAGCTATCTTTATGTTACAGTAATCTTTGGACTTGACTATAATTTTTTCACTTTAAACCTTGAGAAAAGTTAATTGCATAGGAGTTATGCTTAAAAATGCAATCATGCTTTTCAAAATACAAAGCATTAATATAAGAGGTTTGGTAGAACAGTTGTAAAAGAAAGATAGAAGTATAAAATTCCAAATATGCATTCAAATGAAAATAATAGAAATACAAGGAAACCCTTAGAACCTGATATACAAACTTACCGATCCAAGAGTGTTTTCGAATGATCTTACGCTCTGCATATTTATTACATTAATCAAAAACATGGGAGAACTTCCTTACCCCAGCTATATCAGCTAATCCACGAATATGGAGGGTATCTGCCATAGCCAAAAGTGCAGGTAGCTGTTCTTGATATATATTCACTTCACCATTGTACATGAATGTGACCAAGGCACATAAATTCGCATACTCCATTCCTGGTAATACAATTACAGGATGTTGCAAAGAACTTAAATCCTAAAAGTTAATTTTGAATATGACTGGAAGAAGAGGCTTTTGACAATTTTAAAAGAACTGCGTGCGGTACCTTGAACAATTCTTTAAAGTAGTAACTACAAGCAGAAAGTATAATTTTATGTGCATGTATATGTCTACCACCAGCGCTTAGCGTGACGTCTGTTAAATAACCACCATCGAGGAGTTTGGGCAGAGAGCTCAATAGTGTGTTTTGAAAATTGTGCCATCGTAAACAGAACTGTTGCCCTTCCATATTTCTATCTGCTGTAAATCAAAGTTGTCCTTCATTGAGAAAAATTAACGTAATTCCTTGTTCGTTCTTGAACAGGTATACAATAAAGAAATTTGACGGTTCTTATATTACAGTCCTACAGATAAGTTTGATTAATAATATAATTATACGGATAATCTTAAAATAACAAACATCCATAACTATGGACAAAAAGTTATATAAAGTGGCTACTATTTTTTCCATGCGATCTGCTACATAATAAAGAATAAATGAAAGTATAGTACGATAAAATTAAACGTCCGAATGCATTCTACGATCTTTAAAAGGTTATGCGTCTGGTCTGTAGCTTAACTAAATGTTAAAAAATTTTGTTGCGTACGATAGGATCTATTCACGCCAGGCGGAAAGGTAGTTGGGTTACTGCTGGTAGAGCAGTTCGAGAGATAGACAATACTATTTATTTAATCAGGCTGCAGGTTCCAGCCAAGTCTATTATTGTACCTTCAGGTACGGCTGGAGGAAAAGCCAGATATTGGCTCACGGTTTTCAGAGAAACTGATATTGTTCCCGCGGTCAGCGATTGCTGTCAGAGTCATCGGTAGCATAGAATGGATTTAGAATTTTACGCGTTATTTGATCTTACCTCGGAAAATAAATGTTTGATAAAACCGTCAATGATATACTTTAGAAGACACTTCACGTCCATCTGGCAAACTTAGCCATAATCACAGTATAAGTTGCCGTTGGTTGTCGTTGCATCCACTTTATGTAGCGCCCTTAGTGGAAATAAATAGAACTAAAAAATAAGGGATGGATAAAACAGGAGTGCAGAACAATCCGCTAAATTTCCGAAAACCCCCATGCTCCGACCCCTTGGCTGAAATTTTAGCCGAATAATCATTCAATTAAACATCTTTTAATAAATTAAGATTTAACCGTTAATTACTAACAACTAAGACTAAGACAACTAATTACTAACAAATAAGAATTAAGATTTAATCGTTAATTTAGATTTATTTTAATTAAAGATTGTAGATATACATTTTTAATTAGGACTTTTTTTACTTTTTAATAGAAAGAAATTCGACTTAATAATTAAAATTTAATCCTTTACTTGTTAACGTGGCAATTGAAAACTCTGCAATCCTGGCACGAAATCAGATACCCGTTTACCTACATTAAACAGCATAAAAGGAATATTAATTACTCATAACTTTGTACATTAAATTTATTAAACAATTCATTTTTATAATAAAAAAAAATACAAAGCTCATCACATGATGAATCTCGTATCATTGGGTATTCTTTCGTTTTTATACATCACATCGACGCCTCCTATTTATAAGAGACCAGCGGATCTAAGCGATATAATCGTATTTCAATTTTAAGTATTTAGTAAAATAAAAAGTTGCGGATTCAAAATATGTTAATACTAAACAGCTGAATGTTTTGTTGTAAAAACATTCGAAATGTAACAAAATATAAAGAAGATATTTTATAATCAATTGTAGACTCCTTTTATAATTAATAAACAAGACAGTTAACAATTTAAAAAATAGAAAATAGGAACATATGAGACTCATACAATAGGATATAGTATGGAATATTGATGCATCAGTGTTCGACTTATCGTGTAGAACGTTGTTGTACCGATGTTTGACTTACGTCCAATTATCCTTTAAATTCGATTATATTGCATGGCTCCGCCGAGATATGATTATATGAATAAAAGTCTTCATATTGTTTACATTAAATGAAATGGAAAATGATAATGGAAATTTTATATTGTGAGGAAATAAAAATAGTAATGTCTGTACAGAGAAACAAGAGAAGCCTTGTTATTTAGTTCCTGTCCACGTAGTGAAGCTTATTGAGCATTTTTACAATCGTGTTTAACTGCGATTCTATTCTGACCATCCCCATTTGTAATTCCTCGATTCTGACGAGCGAACGTCTATGTCCATGACAACACCTGCAACTATAAAGGAACTATCAATTTTCGTCTAAAATATTTTTGTAATCACACAAATAATAATATTACCTGTTATCACTTCGTATGGACATAGAACATACAGATTCAGATTTAGGAGGAATTTTAGTTTCCGGAGGATCATTTACTATATGAGATGAATTTTGTGTTTCACTGCGATTTTCATTCGCAACACTATTGTCATGGCAATCCCCATATTCGTCTAAAAGACCCTTAATCACTCCTTCTACTCTTTTACGCCTTAATCTTCGTTGTCTCATCTATGCATAAGAAAACACAATTAAACATATTAACAATATACACAAAACAATATTAAAAAAGCAAGTTAAGGAAGCAAGCTAAGTAATACTAATTAAAGAAGTTGTTCCATTTTAAAATCTATCCGAATATTAACCCTTTCGCTACGAGCATCGACTATAGGCATCAATTACACATCAAATATATAATTATAGTCGGCAATGTGCACACTTTCCGACGCGGTGCGCCGTTCAGTGGGACTACTTTGACGGAGCGGACTGCCGTAGCGAACGGGTCAAAGAGAGTCACTGTGAATAATTTGATATATTCTTTTAAAAAAATGTTAGTGATCTTACTTCGGCAGTTTCATTAGCTCGTCTATGTGGAATGGAAGGAACTTCTTCGTCTTCATATGAAACATTTTGATTACTATTATCCCAAGTATTGTTCAAAGATGATTTTGCCGTGCATACATTTTTGCAGCCATGCCTTTGTACTCCTACACTATGAAACGTATCTCTACAGCACTTAGAATTAACATCGAATGCCAGTTTTTCATGATATGAACTACAATCACATGTTTGGTCTATAGGTTCGGTATGATATACACAAGAGGAATGTACTTGTTTCTGTGAATCTGCAACATCTTTGCACGTTGCCCATTCATATTTATGACAGTGTGATGAAGTGCAGTTTCCACAGGACGTCGTTGGGCCAAAACATTGTTTATCTCGTTGATCGTTCATATCATTTATGAATGTTGACGATTTTAACGATAAATTACAATGACTGGATCTGTTGAATTTTGATGGAATTCTCTGTTTTTTGCTAGGTGAATGTATAGATGATCCTCCATTGAATCTATTTTGCCATGTATTTTGGCAGCAACAGGTATTCTTCGTAGATGGTTTTACAGATATTTCCATGTCATCCTCACTGTCGCTTTTAGATTCGTTATCTACTTCTTTGCCCCAAACACTAATTACGCCATTTATTTTCGACATTCTTATTTCAAGATTACCCAGTAAATATGGGCCACATTCTTCGATACGATGTTTCTCACTCCCTGAGTCTTTTACTGGTTCCTCTGTTTGAATTAAAAAGCTCCTGTTCTTACTGTTGTTATCATCTCTATATATGAAACATTTCACATTATCCTCGTTATCATCTATATGTTCCATTGTACTCTGTACAGGTATAGAACCATTGCGATTCCTATTAATAGATCCATTACTTATTTCTTGTTTAATTTTCGAATTTGTATGCATCTCGGGGTATTTGAACTCTACATCAGCTGCATCAATAATATTATTTTTTTCAGTATGAGATATTTTTGAAACCTGGGCAAAAGAAGAATCGTCAAGCATTTCCACTGCTTTCCTTTTCTTGGAATTTGATGCACCGATTGCTGAATTCATATGCAATGAATGATCTTGACTTTGATCTTCCATGATGTTTCCATTTAATTCCTTCTTAATGCTACCGACTGAAGGATTCTCAATTCTTGTTTTACCTTGCGTTACATTTGAAAACGTTTCCGAATACGGAGACGACATAATACATGTTCGTAGCACCGAGTTTACAGTTTTTTTTAAGGTATCACCATTACTAGAAGTACGATTCAAATTGATCTCAGATGATTCGGTAGATCTGACTGGAACGTAAGTAGCCTCTGGCCAATCATCAGCAGTAATTACTGCAGATTCAACATTGCTAATGGATATTATATTCTTTCTTTCTTCTGAAGTTACAGTATCTTTATTAGAAGCATTCGCAATAATTTCAGTTTGTAAAGTACCTTTTGTTTCACACACTTTACTTTTACCTTCATATTTTGCCAACGATTTTTTTAACGAATCCAATTCTTGTTTCATTTTTATATCTTCCGTCGCTGCTTTTTGATGGAATTGTCGAATTTGAGTATTTAACTCGGCAATCTCAGCGTTTAATCTGTCGACTGCCTTGTTTTTCGCAGAATTCACATTCTCTGGTTCATCGGAGGCCACTACGTTTTTAATGCTCATAATTTTCGAAACACTTGCGTCACAGTTCTCAATTGTTTGTGCATCAGTTTCTACATTATTACAATTCATATGAGCATTCACGTCGAGAGATCCATTTCGTTTTCCAATGTTATTATCACAATTTTGCACGTGTTTTACATTGTAAGTGTTACTGTATTCAGTAGCTTCTTGAATATGTTCGTATTGCTGTTCAATTATGCCATTAGATGTTTTATTTCCAAAAATCTGTGAAGCATTCGGATTTAAATTACTGTCTACAATTTCTTCTTGCTGCAAGTCATTATTGATTTCTTCTGCACAGTTCTCTGTGGCCTGATTTCTAAGCTTCGTTCGTACTTGTTGAATATTATTACCTATACACAGGAAATAATAATGATTAACTTTTATTCATATTTTGAAATTCGATTGTACAAAAATATAATTCTTATGATAAGTGAGACAGAAAACGTCTTACCCTCATTCCCTTTACTTTTATTAATCATTAATTCTTGTTCCTTCATATACTCATCTCTCACATTTTTATTTTGTTCCCTCACATCTCTTAGATAATTCATCATTTTATTGTCCATGTAGTCATTTTTATGTGACATAATTTGCCTTTTGTACATAGCAGAATATGCTTCTCTAAATGTATTTTTATTTAATTTTAAGTTTAAATAATTGTGCCATTTTTTCTTCTGCGGCGAGTGAAGGTTGTGTTTGGAAATGTTTAAATCTTGTAATGACAAACTTCTCTCTTTGTGGTGATGCCTTAGCCTGTTGTTTAATATAAAGTCGTCCGATGCTCTATCAAACATGTCTTGTTCATATTCTATTTCATTATCCTCATTGTATATTCTCAAAGGATCACTAATTTCATCATCCTCTGCTTCCTCATTTTCTAACATTCCATTTGAGTTCTCCATGTCATCCATATCTATCAACCACAATAAAAAATAATTGTTTTTAATGTCGTATCATTATTTATAGATAATTGCCTATATTTTTAACATACCTTCACTATCTGTGTATTCATCTTCGTTCTCATCGTTATAAGCATGGTTGCTATCTTCTCCAGAAGATACTATGCAAATGCTTTCATCCTGTTCGTCACTAGGACAAGGACTACGACTGGCTTCGTCGTCTGGCAACTCCAAATCCTGTTGCACTGTATTATTGTTACCTAAGTCGATGTATCTCAATGAACTAAATGTATTGATGTACGATCGCGTGTCTTCATTTTTCAACACAGGCGAAACAAGTATGTTAAACAATGAAACTTCCATTTCATTAAAATCATTAAACCGTGGGAGTTCAACGTTCGTTTCATTGTTTAACATACTGTACTCACTTTTTAATTGTTCTTCACTGTTATTCTCCGCGTTTATCTCGTGCTCTGTTTCCTCGGAAGTATGTTCGTGCTCGTTTTGTTCCAACATTATCAAGGTCGGTATTGGAAACTAAACTCCGACTGTAAAATGTGTGTCGTAACAACTAATCGTACGTTTACGAAGTCTGGAAATTGAGCGAATATGTATCGCACACAAGTTATCCTCGAACTTTCTCTCCTAGACGTTTAATAACTCGTTTGCAATTTACGAACGATCGCCATCATCGCATCATCGCCATTACGGTTGCCGCTTACGGCTTACGGGAGAAGTCACTATCATCGAGTAAGTACTTATAAAGAGTGGCAGCCTTATGGGACTTGGTGTCGTACAAAAAAGATCGTGTGGCCGCTTGGCGCCACTGGTCGAGTTGCAGAATCTAAGGAGATCGTCTCTCTATGGTCTCTCTCTCTAGGTTCCTCTCCTCAAAAAGATCATCTTTCGACCATTGAGCTCTATTTCATCAATGTTTTCGACATTACATCATAGAGTTATTATAGATAGAGTAGGGAAGACAGGGAAGACATAGGAAAGGCTCTTGGGTAAGTGGTACTGCATACTCATTTAGATAGAGAAAAAAATAGAATACCTCTTTCTATCATGCGCTAGTAGAAAGAGATAACGAATGGTCTCTTATTGACTCTTTCTTTCTAATCAGGATACGGTTTCCAGGCAACGTTTCCTGCCCTATGGCCGATGCTATGATTTACTTTTTAGAATTAAAAGATATCGGAAGTGGTACATAGTGGTACAGCTGTTCTATTGATGACAGATGTCATTTATTTTTAATCATTCTGATGTACTCAGACTTGTTCTAATTCAATCACCGATTTAAAAATCGGAACAAACTTTCCAGACAACTCAACATTTGGATTATAAAAATTACCTTAATATTTTATGTAACATATTGCTTGAATAAATTGAAATCTTGAATATAGGTGGGGAGATATCTATTGCAGTTGAACGCTAAAGTTGAGATACCTCATACAAATAAGCTCCAAGTAATTTAGTCTGAAAACAAAATATACAGTATTTGAAATTTGAAAAAAATAAGTAAGCTAAAGTTGACCAGTCCCACTTTCTTTCAAAAAATAAGACTTTTAAAACTCCTAATATACTAAATAAAACATAATAAAAAGATACATAATATATATAATAAAAGAGCAATTGCTATTATTCAGGCAAAAAATGTCTTTTAACTGGTCAACTATTGGTGTCTTTACCTTCCTTGTAATTAAAAATACTTACACCGCCGATGTAATTACGAACGTCTAACTTTTCATTCTGAGAATGTGCTCCATCATCACCAGCACCGACTGGCAAGAGTAATACATTTTTACCAGTTACTTCTTGGAACGTTAGAGTAATCGGAATCGAACCACCTTCGCGCGACATATCAGGGTCTACATTGTACACATGCTTGGTAGCTTTCCTACCAGCCAAATAATTCGGATGATCAGGATCCTCCGTCCACGGTTTTCCACCGTGAATCATGCTAACGGTCATTTTATTCGGACTACCTCTCTGAGCCCACTTTTTATTCAAATAGTCTGTTACTTTCTGAACAGTATTATCGATAGTCATACTCGGTACCAGTCTAATCGAAAATTTGCCAGTAACTTTCCCTGGGATAACAGTTTTTGCACCTGGCTCACTGAATGCACCCTCGATACCGTGGAGGGACAAACTTGGTTGTCTCCATCGGTGCATCAAAAGTTGTATCTAGCAACGTAACGAAACAGTTGTATTATAAATGTAATTCGACTGAAAATAAATGAGTTGTTGACTCTGATTTTTTTACACAATTTTTAATTCATCGCAACTTGCTTAAATTGATTAAATTCTACTGAGAACAAATTTTCGAATTGATTGAGAATTTTTCCTAATTTGTAGTAAAAAGCAAGGCAAAAATCTGAACAAAATACACATACTACTCAAATAGCAATACATTTCCAATCTTTTTTCAAAATTTTTGATAAATTAGAATCGGAGGGAACAATTGCAAGAATAATGATTACGAAACAAAGTATGTTAATTCTATTATCAGTAAATGTCCATTAATTATAGATATATTCACCTTATCTTCGTTATGAGCTAAACGTTTAGCTCCTATAGAATTTCGAAACTCGTCAACGTCAAATTCAATCTGCTTATACATTTCCAGTTCCTTTGTCATGATCTTATCAACTTTTTCATAAATACCGTCTACTAATATTTTACCCTTTGTGTCGACTAATGCGTTTAACAAATATATCAAATCCGGCATTGCCTCGTGCAGAGCCCCGCCGAATGTACCACTATGTGAATCTTTTGCAGCGCAAATTACTTCGACTGTGAAATAGCAGACACCTCTTAAGCCGTATGTAACGCATGGCTTTGTGGTGCCCAACCAATAATGATCAGATATGCATACATAATCCACTCCTTTCAAAAACGTATCTTTACGTGCCCAAAGGAGATCATCCAGACCTTCACTACCACTTTCCTCCATACCTTCAAAAACAAACTTAAGTGGAGATAAAGTTAGTATAAAAAATTAAAAACAGTATGCTATGAATAATTTTGAAATTGTAGCACCTTAATATTGACAGGGATATCAACCCCAATAGCTTTATAAGCTTGCAATGCATGGATCCAGCAAAGTACGGGACCTTTGTCGTCTGTACTTCCACGACCGAACAATTTGCCATTTTTTTCAACGAGTGTAAATGGTTCTGTATCCCAGCCATCTTCCTTTAATGCTGGTTGGACGTCTAAATGCCCATACAAGAGAACAGTCTTTTTCTTTGGGTCGCACCCAAGAGACCCTAGCAAGGCAGGTGGAAGTGCAATTTCACTTCCATCTGGAAGTGTTTGTATCCCTATATCTACTAATTCTGTAATAGTTCCAAGATCCTTTAATTTGGCTTCTGCCCATTTCATCATTTTAATAATTTCGTTTCTGTGATCTGCCCATGCTGAGACAGATTTTATAGCTACTGCTTCACGTAAATTATTTATGTATTCTTTCTGGTGGTCATCAATGTAGCTAAAAATTGAACATATAGCACTTGTATTCAAAGTTCTTCTAAACTACTTGTATAGATAAATCAGTAAATTTGTCGAATTACAATTTGAAGATAACCGAGATAAGTACATGAGTTTGAAAGATTCCAATTTTAAAAATTAAATAAGAGTTCAATTTATAATGTTTGAATAAGAGTTTAATATACAAATATTATCATTAAGTACAAGATATTTAGAGGCCCACATTATGTCCTAAAAGACATTTATCGGAAGTTGTTAGCTTATTAAACAAATACGATTTGTGAAAAACTGTGGTACTTATATATCGCTCATTAATAGCATAATTATTTGCATACCTAAACAGCTGTTTTAAAGGTGTTGGAAGTTCTTGAGCCATTCTATTAGTTTTATTTCGATCAGACACCGACTGTATCAAGCATATTCTTGACAACTAATAAACTGAAGTTCTTTCGTTACAAGTATATGATGATCATATTATGATCAGAATGATTAATGAAGATAACTCTTATCTCATGGGAGGGGCATATCAGAGCATAGCAACAAATCGGACTAGAACTATAGAGATATTACTAGAACACGGTCGTATCGACCATATGTATACGACCGTGGACTAGAACTATCGATGGTACTATCGATAGTGAATCGTGTAATGCGGAGATGGCTTCACACCCCTCGTCTAATGTACGGGTTTATGGATTGGTATGGTGGAATCGAATAAAACGATCCAAATATTATCAAAGTAATCTCTTACACACTTTCCACGTTTCAAATGAGATTCGTAAAATTTCTGTTTTATCTAAAGTGATACAATTATCAGCATAATTGGGTTTTTTTGCGTCAGCATGAATTAGCAACTTTTTAAGAATGTTTATGAAGTCATAACAAATGAGATTATTATTGTTATCTCCTTTCCTTTTCATGGCACTAAAGGAAATTTTAATGTGGCCTTGAGGCAACTTGTATGTCAAAAGATTATAATTTTTAAAATAACTATTATAAATATTTATAACATTTTCAAGCGAATGAATAATTCCTTGAAATCCATTTTTCTTGCGCGAGTAAATAAGTAGCAATTTTTAAGTTTAATAATATAAAATATTTAAGTAAGGCATTGCTTACATTATGAGTGGGAAAATGTAGTTCCTCATACACATGAATGGACTACAGATTTTATGTATTTAGGAAACAATTGAATGCGCTGGAAGTATCAATCGCTTTCAATCTTTTTGATCCTATTATAAGTAATCGACTACTAACTAACGTATAGTCAATTACTAGTTCTCTCCTTTTCAAGGCTGTTCAATTTCTGATGCAATTATAGAATTTTCTGCAATGCGGTTAATATATCTATTTTAGAAAGTTAGCTTCGTTATTTACTTTAGAATATTAGAACAGCATTTTTCTGCATGAAGTTTTACTACATAATAAAAGAGCAATTGCTATTATTCAGGCAAAAAATGTCCTTTAATTGGTCAACTATTGGTGTCATTACCTTACTTATAATTAAAAATACTTACACCGCCGATGTAATTACGAACGTCTAACTTTTCATTCTGGGAATGTGCTCCATCATCACCAGCACCGACTGGCAAGAGTAATACATTTTTACCAGTTACTTCTTGGAACGTTAGAGTAACCGGAATCGAACCACCTTCGCGCGACATATCAGGGTCTACATTGTACACATGCTTGGTAGCTTTCCTACCAGCCAAATAATTCGGATGATCAGGATCCTCCGTCCACGGTTTTCCACCGTGAATCATGCTAACGGTCATTTTATTCGGACTACCTCTCTGAGCCCACTTTTTATTCAAATAGTCTGTTACTTTCTGAACAGTATTATCGATAGTCATACTCGGTACCAGTCTAATCGAAAATTTGCCAGTAACTTTCCCTGGGATAACAGTTTTTGCACCTGGCTCACTGAATGCACCCTCGATACCGTGGAGGGACAAACTTGGTTGTCTCCATCGGTGCATCAAAAGTTGTATCTAGCAACGTAACGAAACAGTTGTATTATAAATGTAATTCGACTGAAAATAAATGAGTTGTTGACTCTGATTTTTTTACACAATTTTTAATTCATCGCAACTTGCTTAAATTGATTAAATTCTACTGAGAACAAATTTTCGAATTGATTGAGAATTTTTCCTAATTTGTAGTAAAAAGCAAGGCAAAAATCTGAACAAAATACACATACTACTCAAATAGCAATACATTTCCAATCTTTTTTCAAAATTTTTGATAAATTAGAATCGGAGGGAACAATTGCAAGAATAATGATTACGAAACAAAGTATGTTAATTCTATTATCAGTAAATGTCCATTAATTATAGATATATTCACCTTATCTTCGTTATGAGCTAAACGTTTAGCTCCTATAGAATTTCGAAACTCGTCAACGTCAAATTCTATCTGTTTATACATTTCCAGTTCCTTCGCCACAATTTTATCAACTTCCTCATAAATGCCGTCTACTAACATTTTACCATTTGTGTCGACTAATGTGTTTAACAAATATATCAAATCCGGCATTGCCTCGTGCACAGCCCCGCCGAATGTACCACTATGTAAATCTTTTGCAGCGCAAATTACTTCAACTTTGAAATAGCAGATACCTCTCAAGCCGTATGTAATGCACGGCTTTGTGGTGCCTAACCAATAATTATCAGATATGCATACATAATCCACTCCTTTCAGAAACGTATCTTTACGTGCCCAAAGGAGATCATCCAGACCTTCACTACCACTTTCCTCCATACCTTCAAAAACAAACTTAAATGGAGATAAAGTTAGTGTAAAAAATTAAAAGAAAGTATGCTATGAATAATTTAAAAATTGTAGCACCTTAATATTGACAGGAATATCAACCCCAATAGCTTTATAAGCTTGCAATGCATGGATCCAGCAAAGTACGGGACCTTTGTCGTCTGTACTTCCACGACCGAACAATTTGCCATTTTTTTCAACGAGTGTAAATGGTTCTGTATCCCAGCCATCTTCCTTTAATGCTGGTTGGACGTCTAAATGCCCATACAAGAGAACAGTCTTTTTCTTTGGGTCGCACCCAAGAG